AAGAAGAAACAAAAATTTAGCTTTAGGGTGATAAGGTAACTCTGTCCTAAAAATAAACATTCCCGTAATTCTCCAGCAAGCTGAATATTTCATTGTGTTTTGAAACACTCCAAGGAAATGAGAAGAGCTGACTGAGTCTAAATCCATGAAAATTCGCTCTGCTCCATAGACTTCTGTCCTGTAGGGTACAATCAAGGGGATCTGATAAAGTGCAATTTACAAAATTAAAAGACAACAGAAATAGACATTAAATCTTCAAGGATCTAGTGATTTACTTGCTAATTAACTTCAAACTTCTCTATCAACATTCTCTGTATTTTTGAAAGTGAAAGTATAGAGTATGATGATGTTAATTTATAGACTATGGGACATTTCTTCTCATTCTTCCCATTGCTTGAAATACGCTTTAATTTATTTGGAAGACCAGAGCAAATATTCCAAGGTGTTTTACAGAATTATGGACAGAAATTTTTGTTCTTTCTTGACTGTTGCCTGAGGCAGCATTTCCTCCTGCTCTGGAATTTCTGCAGTTGTCTGTATCCAGTTTCCCTTTTGAGCTTGGTGACATGGTCCAAGCAGCTTGTGGAGTTCCGGCGTTACTAGAAATGGTGACTTCAGGGCTGTGACTCAAAATATTTACTTCACTCATGTGACCCTGATTAGCTGCCAGTTTCAGCCAGGTCATGAATGAAGTTGTCACTTTGTTTGGAGAGCAGGCTTTCCTTTTCTTTTTCCCCCACCCACCTCTATTCACACTTCCCCTAAGTAAAACTTCTGCCTGATGTTGAATCAAGTACAGTAAGATTTAATCTCTGGGGGAAAAACTCTGAGTGGTAAAAAAAGGAACTTCCTTCTGAGCAACCTTCTTGAAAATACAGTGATTTGAGGTTATGACCTTGTTGAAGCTGAAGGCATTCAAAGCAATGGGTGATATATATGTTTTAAAAAAGACTTTTGACTTAAGTTTTGGATTCCAGTGTATGCCAGTGCATTATATCCAAATACATTTGACTTGTTTTGTTTGGTAATGTAATTGAAAACACATTTAATTGCATGATGATTTAAGACATCCTTGTTGTTTCAGGACATACATAAGTTTTAATAAAACTCCAGGTTTTTCAAATGTACTTTTTTTATTATCAGAAAGAGCCATATTGTCTGATGTTTTTTCACCTTTGATTGGTACTCCTTTATTTTCATTAAATACTGTTGGCAAACTGCTTGCCATGTGGAACGAACTATAGATTTTGGGGCTCTACAATACTTCATGATAAAATTAACAGCAAAAAGATATGTAAAAATTGTACTTATTTTTTGTCACATTTTCTAGCTTAAGTTAAACCTGATGTCCACGAAGGCAGATAGCCACAATTATTATGGCATGGGACGTTTTCAGTCCTTTTTGAAATAGAACATAGAACATGGTAGCAAATGAGAAGCATATGCTACTTGACAGTGCTGTGTCTGGCTTATTTCACTTATCATCATGTCCTGCAGATCCATTCATGTTGTCTCAGCTGGCAGGATTTCCTTTCTAATGGCTGAATAATATTCCCGTGTGTTTATATACCACATATTGTTTTAAAAATTTTTTATTTAATTTATTAGGGTGATGTTGGTCCATCTTGTGTGGAACTCTCCGCACTTCTTGGACTTGTGTGTCTTTTTCTCTCACCAGGTTAGAAATGTTTTCGGCCATTATTTCTTCAACTAGGTTCTTGATCCCTTGCTCTCTCTATTCTCTTTCTGGTGCCCCTGTGATGCAGATGTTGTTACACTTCATGCTGTTCCAGAGGCTCCTTAGACTGTTTTCATTTTAAAAAATTCTTTTTTTGTTTTGTTTTTCTGATTGGGTGTTTTCTGCTACCTTGCTTTCCAAATTGCTGATTCTTGCCTTTGCTTCATCCTACCTCCTGTTTATTCCTTCTAGCTTATTTTTAATTTCAGATGTTTTATTCTTCATTTCTGACTGGTTCTTTTTCATGTTTCTTTGTTGTTTTTCATGCTTTTGAAGTTCTCACTTAGTTCCTTGAGCACGCTGATAACCATTTTTTGGAATTCTGTATTTGGTAAATACAAAATTGCCTCTGATTCATTTACCTTTTTTTCTGGAGATTTCTTCTGTTCTTTCACTTGAGGCATGTTTCTTTGACTCCCCACTTGTGGGTTTGTATCTATGTATTAGATAGCATTAGAATGCTCCCCACAGCATTAAATATGCTGTTTCTGAGTCTTGATAGGGTTGCCTCATGTAGTAGGTCTCCTGTGGGACCCAGTGACACAGTCTCCTTGATCTCCTGTGCTGGGTACTCCAGGAAGGTCTCTTGTGTGGTGGGTTATGAGAGGCCTCTGTTGTAATGAGTCTTGATTGCTATTGGCTGGTTTGTGCCTGGGATTGTCCCTCAAGCTGGCTGACTGTGAGGATTGACCCCGGCCATATTGTACAAGCTGCCGTGCAGGCAGGTGCCGGCCACACTAAGTGGAACTTGTCTCAGCAGATTCTGGTGCATGCTGAGGTCTCCCTTTGGATATGCTGCTTTTGAATCTTAGCTCCACCCAAGAAGGATGGTGTCTGTGGTATGGGAGAGGGACTCAGCACAGGGATCCTGGTGGCTGTCCCTTTAGCTCTCTCCCCAGAGGTACAAACCCCAGTCTCTCCTCACGTGATTCTAGTCTGCTCTGCCTTTCCTTTGTGGGATCCCAGGATGACTAGGTGTAAATGAGTTTTTGTGTGTTGTTGTTTAAGTGTGCACTGTGTCTCTAGCAAACTTTCTTCCCTCCCTGGTAGACAGAATCCCCACTGATTTTCACAGCCAGATGTTAAGTGGGTGCCTCTTCCTGGTTCTGATGCTCCTGGGCTAGGGATCCCAATGTGGGCTTGTGACCCCACACTCTTCAGGGGGAACCTTTGCAGCTGAGATATCCCTCTGGCATCTCAGCCACTGCCCATGGGAGAGCGGGCCACCCCTTTTCGAGTCTCCGCCCTCCCTACCAGTTTTGACATGGCTCCTTCTGTAAGTCCTTGGATGTAAGGGTTTTGTTCAGCTAATTTTCAGTTGGTTATTGTTGTTGGTGTTATATATTTTAGTTCTGATTCCATTTGGGTCCTGGGAGGAAGTGAGTGTACCTTCCACCTACTCCACTTCCATTGTGTATCCTCATATTTTCTTTTATTCATCCATCAGTAGACATTTGGGTTGCTTCCATGTCTTGGCTATTGTGAATGTTGGAAGTGCAGGTATCCCTTCAAGAGAGTGATTTTATTTTCTTCAGATATATATCCAGATGTGGGATTGCTGGATCTTACGTTAGTTCTGTGTTTAGATTGCTGGATCATATGATTTATCTTGAGTAATCTATATATCTTTCCATAATGGCTGTACCAATTACATTCCCACTGATAGTACACAAGGGTGTCCTTTTCTCAACATCTTTACAAACATTTACCTTTTTTCTTTTTGATAATAGCTGTCCTAAATGGAATGAGATGATATCTTTTTGTGGCTTTTATTTGCATTTTCATGAGAATTAGTCAACTCATATCCACTCTTAATTTGTCTTAAACTGGGAGCAGATTTGAACTTGAACTGCAACTTGTGTTCATAGCTTATTGGCAAGAACTAGTTAGGTGGCTTTAACCTAACTATGGAAGGATGGAAAATAAGGGATTTCACGGACTATTCTCTGATCTGTAGGTCACTGATGTGTACTGTTTTGTGCGGGAACAGTGTGGTGAACATAGACTTCAGAGGCAAGCCAACCATTGTTGGGAAACCTTGATTTTCATGGTGAAGGGCATATATTATGTTAGCTGTTCCATTTCTCCTCTTCCTTTCTTCTACTTATAAAATGGTGCCTTTGTGACCACTGACAAAGAACAATGGTGTTTGGATTACAGATAGAGAGTCGCCTTTGGAAATTGACACATAAAAAAAACTTTTGAAACAATGAAAAAGGTAAAAGTATTACGATAAACAAGGTTTCACCCTTCATCTTGAATATAAGACAACTGGCATTATTGAAATTTTCATTAATCTTTTATATTTATAACTCTTTAGTTAGTATTAAGTCTTCAAAATGGAATTGAATAACCACAGTACTACCCTAGATGGGTGAGCTTCAGGGAACAGATTTAACCAAACCTTTTGATGATATTTACATATTGGCCTGCATTCTTGAATTGACATGTGTCTGCTATATTTGTCCAATACACTTATAAAGAATGATTATTATAAAGAGATTTTAAGTGGAGCTAGTCAGAGTTTAAAAATTATTAGTCTCTTCTTACCAAAACACTGGATGCAGGTATTTCTGAATTTTTTTCCTTGACCAGATGAAGAGCTTTACTGTGGAAAGGATTCCTTCCTTCCTTCCTTCCTTCCTTCCTTCCTTCCTTCCTTCCTTCCTTCCCTCCCTCCCTCCCTCCCTCCCTCCCTCCCTGGTACTTTGGGAATAATTTTCTCAATAACGTAGACTGAAAAAGAAATGTTTGCATTTCTAATTCCAGACCTAATTCTTTTTCCTGCCAGCCACATCACATCTCCTGGATTCTAATTCTCATATTACAGTGTCATTAGCACCATCTTGGTCTTTGACTTTGTATTTTACTGCTGGTGTCCTACACAGGTGTTTCATAGCCTTTTGTTTTTGTAAACACCTTTGTGCCACAGAAAGAACTTCTGGGAGTACAGTAGGTAATCATAAGTATTTGTTAATAGTTAATTATGTTACAGTTTAGCAACTGGAAAAACTTCAATTGCTATTACTTTTTCACCTCTCCATTATGATAACTGATAAAGTTAATAAAAACCCTAAGACATTTCTGTGTCATCTTGTATTTTATTTCTCTGATTAGTTGAAAAGTATATGAGATAAATAGCCAATGCGTTATTTGACTCATCAAAGCCACGCTATTCTTAAGCCTGGCTGAATGAAAATAGACTCTGTTATACATCGATTATATATTTTGTTTCTCATCCCTCACAAAATTTTTTTTTTAGGCAATAGAGATTTTGCCAAGGACGATCCGTTGGAATTTAAGTCCCACCAGTGGTTTGGAGCATCTGTGAGATCAAAGCAGGATAAAATTTTGGTAAGCCCTTTGGATACTTACTCATAGGTGAGTTTAGTTGATTTATGTGAAAACAAAGAAGTTTTATTTTTAAAAGCTGCTAGGAAACCTCAGCGTGCTCAGGGGCACAGGGTACAGTGAGATAAAGTAGCTTTGCTCCAAGGCCACGCTGTCTTTCTCTTCTTCACAGGCTGGGTTTCTGCTACTTTCCGCTTTCACTCCTACATTTTCATTTTTTGCACCTCACTTGACAGTTCCCATCAGTTTGTTTCTCTTCAGTCAGGTTAAGGAATGGTGTGCCTTTGATTAATCAAACCCTTTAGTGGCCTGCTTCTTCAAAAATGCAACTTTCTCTTTGCCTCATCTTCCCCTGTGTCATGGTCCCAAACCCTTGCTCCTCTTTTCAGAAACTTTTAGAAAGTGTTTCAGTAGTAACCATGTCTGCATCTTCACTGCACATTTTCTTCCCAGCCTCTCCCATCAGGCTCACATAGGCACAGGCAAGGTCACCCTTGACTTTGAGGCCACTGAAGTCCCCTGGTCCTTATTTTTATTGCCTCCTCAGCACTGTTCAGCAAGGTCAGTTGACCCATTCTTTTTGAAGTAATTTTCCTCCCTTGGCTTCTGGGGTACTGTACTCTCCTGCCTTTCTCCCATCTTGCTGGTTACCCCTTTGCAATCTCCTTTAGTGGCTCCTCTTCTGCTCAGTTTCTAATGTCAGGGTGTCCCTGGGCTCTGCTCTGGGCCCCACATTCTCTAACTAGACCTTTTACCTGGTTTTTGTTTTGCCATGGCTGTAAATACAGAGGATGGGGTGGGGGGCAAACGTAGGTTTACAGTCGTGAGTAGGCAGAACACAGAGTTTGTTCTTATATTATTATTTATTAATTTTATAGTATTTTCCGTACGAACAACCCTAAACCTACTTTTGCCCCACCCCGTACAACCTGTATGTCATAATCCTCCAACCTGAGGATTATTTCTCTGAGGTCGTCGGGATTGTCTGAAACACTGGTGTTTCCAGAGGATTTTTATTCCCGGACCGCCTCCTTTGGTTTCAGGCCTGCGCCCCACTGTACCACTGGAGGACTGAAATGAAGCAGGAGAGAGAGCCTGTTGGAACATGCTTTCTTCAGGATGGAACAAAGACTGTTGAGTATGCTCCATGCAGATCGAGTATGTATAGGAGGCTGTTCCAGCCTTTAAGAGGGTTGGGAAACCTAGTCTGTTAAAAATGTGAGTGTGTGTGGGTGTACGGGTGGGTATTAATATTTATTGACATACTGTGATGTTTGATGACAGCGAAATGAAAACAGTCTTTTTAGTGGAAAGTAATTACACGTGAAGTCAGTAAGCTTGTCTCACTACGAACTAATTTTCATCTTTCTCGGTTAGTAATAATTGCTATGTGTTTTTGGAAACCTGCATTTTTTGTCACTTTTAGTCAAAACATGCTCCATTGAGCTTTTCTAACAGAGATGTTAGAGATTCTGAGTCAGTTGATCTAGGCCAGGTCTGGGTGCCTGCATTTTAAACTCATTCTACGAGGTGATTTTGATGGATACTGAAGTTTCAGAACTTTATAATAGAGTTTTATGTTAATGATGTTAAAAATAAAAATTTTGTCTTAAAATGTCAGAATTTATATTGGAAGGTATTTACCTTCCATTGAGTTCAGGATTCTGAGTCTGAATTTCCTTGCTTTTATTAGAATTTCTTTATCGATCCATTATCAAGCTCACCCCTCTTTTGATAATCTAAAATAAAAGATGTCACAATTTTCTTGAGTATTGTTTGAAATTTCAAGTGAAATTGATATTGGGATTAAAGATGGTTTTGAGCACTTTTAGTTTTGATTATGCTTTTGCACACTCTGCGTACATCCTTTTCCCTCAGAGAGCCACACGTCCTCTTGCCTTGTCACCTTGGTTCAATTGGCCGTTGCTCCAGGTTCTCCTTATACTAGGTACACAAGAGTAGCTTATTGGAATGCAGCATGGTGTTTATACCTAGAGCACTTTTTAGGCCGTTATTTTTTCTGTGCCATTGGTCACCCGTAAGTACAACATGTAAGACTTTTACTGCTAGATTATTTTTTCCATGTTAAATGACCTATGAAACTACTCAGTTATCAAAATTCTAAGCAGTTGAACCTCCAAGGAATGGCACATGATTTCATGAAACAGTCATTTCTAGCCTACCACCATGACCCTACTCGTATGTAACCAAGAGGTAGGCATCAAAAGAATGATCCCTGCCAGAACGGCATTGTTAATTAGGATAGGCTAGAAAGCACTTCCTGCGCAGGACAGAGGGGTTGGCAGTTTTATCCTCGGTGCCCGATGCTGTCTGGATCACCCTCGTGTTGGTGTTTTGGTCTTAGCACTGTCGTCTTTGTGGTGCATGGGAAATGTGAGGACGAAATTTGTGTTTTAAATTCCTCTATAGCAAAAATGCTCCTATTGTGAGAAGATAATATCATAGCTATGAACAGTGAGCTAGCTCTTGTGTGCCAGGTCTGTAACTTGTTTACATGGCGCGCACACACAGTCACCCTTATGCCTCTGTGGCAGATGTGGAAATAGATTCAGACAGTTGAAGGATTTTTTTTTCCCTGCGTCTTGTGGTATCAAGTGGTCTCATGAGGATTTGAACCAGGTCTGTTTTATCCCAAAGGAATTTTTCCCCTGTATTACTAACAATAGAATGTGTTTTCCAGTTTAGTTGCCTCTGTATTAAGCACAGTTTTTCTACAAAGCATGCATCTTGCTTTCATGAATACAGGGTTAGATAATTCCTGATGTATAAGAGTGCATGAACCCTTCTGATAACAAGCATTCTGATGATTTTCCTTGTGGATATACTGCCACGTTAATCTAGTAGTTTTGTTATTTCGTCTCTTCAGTAATAAATAGTTCTTTTCTCATCATGTAGTTGAAGGAATGAGGCAGCATTTGAGTGATCCATCTGTTATGAAATGCACTCATTTTTATTTGATTTAGGCACAAAAATTATAAAATCTTCTAAAACCTTATTTTCTAATGTATTTAACATCCAAGTCAGGGCAGCAAACTGTGGCTCGTGAGCCCCTGGTTTCAGAGGAAGTTTTACTGGAGCACAGCGTACCCATTTGTTTACGTGTTGTCTGCAGAGGGGGAGTTGAGTATCGCCACAGAGGCTATGCAGCCCCTAAGCCTAAAGTAATTACTGTCTGGCCCTTTAAAGAAAAGATTTGCTGATCCCTGATCTAAATAGTAAAAACCTCAAATCTTAGAAAAAGTACAAATAACCACCTCAAAACAGCGAAGTAAATGCCTCTCTTCCCGATGCACGTGGCTGTCTGGATCCCTGGATCGTTGTGCGTGATTTCCCACTCAACTTCTGGACCTTGAGCTGCTACCTACAAGACCCGGTTATAGGGGCAACCTACCTGGGTAAAAATGCTCACAAGTGGGAATCTGAGAACTTGGGTTATAGTCTCGTAATCTGCCGAGAGCCTGCCTGTAGCTGTGGGTGATTCACTTAACCTCTGTGGGCCTTTGTTTCATTGTTGGGAAAATGTTGTTTTGCACAAAAGACTTCAGAGGTGTGGATTTAGTATCTTGTGTTTTCTTCATCCTTCAACACATCATACAACCCAGTGATTGATTTTACATGCGGAACTCCAGCTTTGTAGAGCTGCACTGCTAAGATCTTGATACCTTTGCTTGTTTTGGTGGTGGTCATTTGTGTGTGTGTGGGGGGGGGGGGTTGTTGTAGGTTTGCTTTTGTTTTTAACATAACCCATGTGGACCCCCTGGGCATGTAACTTCACTGTCTGTAAAACACTTACTCTATTACTGATTACATTTGCTTTTTTCTTTTTGTGACTGTATGACCATTCTTGGCATTACACACTGGGCAAATGTCTTTCTGTTCTAACTTGAACACTCTTTCAATTACTTGCTCAGACTGAGTCTTTTGTTCCTTTCTGACGTGTGCACAGATTTTTCTTCATTTTGATTTCTAATTGGCTTTTCCTTTTCTTTGATTGTCCTTCCGGGAATCACAAACACATTATTGATTTGAGGTATTGCATTCTTCCTGCGTAGACATACCTGGGCTCAGTTCCGTGCTTTCTATTTGCTACTAGTTTGACCATGGTCAAGTACTTCACTTCCTTAAGGCTTAGTTTTTTTCTCTGAAAATTGTGAATAATAATAATATCTCTCATAGGATTGCTGTAAAGATTTAAAAAGATAATGCCTAGGAAAATGCTGTAGAACAAATAGTAAGTACCTGACTCACAGGAAGGGCTTGATAACCATTAGTTGCTCTCACTGTCATAATCAATAGTAATATTATGTCATTCAATCATAATATCACTATGTAATCAATACTATTATTATTAGCATCAGGTTTAACAAGCAGGAGGAATATTAATGGTCCATAGAAATAAAAAGAAAAGCCTTCAGTGAAGTAGGCTATAGTCAACATAAAATTCTTAACATTGTCATAAACACTCAGTTTAATGTGTACCTGTTAAGAAAATTGTAAAGGAGAGTAGTGTTAGATGTTCTGGGAAACCATATAAAGCATGTAACTGTACAGTGTGATAATAAAAAAAGGATGTCTTTGTAAATAGCCTGAAATAGTTCTCCAGATGCAACTTGAATAAAGGAAATCAATGGCTGGCTTGAGGTCAGAGCAGAATTCCTTAGCATGAGTTCACGAGACACTGGAAACCCCAGCCCTGCATTTTCCCAGTCCCTCTTGGTTAGAAAAATTTACACTGGGGTAGCATTACACTCCTGAGGGTATTTTCTTTAAAAAAAAACAAAACAACGCTAAATTTAGGTATTAATTGTGTAATCTTGGGGCAGTTCCCAAGTTTATAAAATGGGTTCAAAATTTTTGATGGGAGTATTTGACAGAAATTCTTGCAAGTTGTCCTAGTGACTTAAAATAGAGTTTTTTGGTTCCTGTATTTGGGTGGCAAAACAGTGAGACTATAGCATAATTATTTCTATATTGTAACATTGGCTACAAGAATTCCTGGATATTATCAGAATGGTCACGTCATAAGGTGATTGTCTAATTGTTGTACGCCTGAAACTAATATAATACTTATATAAACTGTAATTGAAAAATAAAGAAAAAATTCTTGATAACTAAAGAGTAGGGTTTTTCATTCTTCCTTGTTATAAAATTAAAACAAGGGAGAATCTTCAGGTTCATCCTTACCTCTATTCTAGGTACATTATTACTCGTGGTTAAATTTTATTTTAATTAATTGACCAGCTGTCCAGAAATTATCTCTTTCTGTGAGAACTACAAAAAAGGGGAACTACAAAAGAGTAGGATGAGTGAGTCTGTTATCATTTGGAAATACTTGGAAGTCTCATGTTCAGAGACGTTCACTTTTATGAGACCCTGGTACTAAATGTGTCACAAGCATTGGTTCATGTTTGCTTTTCTCAGGACATTTTTAGGTTCTAGCTATCTCTTGAAGCTCTGAACTATGTTTCTTAAATACTTATGTTTTTGTTATTGTTATTGACTATAAAAATGTACCTAGGAAACGTATATACTAGGGATGTATGTATCTCTTTACTAGTGTAAAGACCTAAAACTGTAGTATAATAATAGTAAGAAATAGGAATTTTAAATTGGAGTTTTTAACTCACAGATCACAACTCATCATTGTTTTATAAAATCAAAATAATGGGTCATAATCAGTAATTTTTTAAAAATGGAATGAAATACACAAAATATTACAGTATATTATTTTGTGAAATTATTTTACTTATATATGTATATGCTGTTATTCAGGGCTGTGATATAAAATATAATCTTACTGTGGTTTGTGGTCAAAAATAAGAAGTTTGAAATTCACTCTCGGGTGTTCTTTCTGTTCCCTGGTGACTTGAATCTCTCTCTGTTGCCACATCTGAGAAAATGAAGCTGATAACATGCATACTTACTTTTTTAGAATGTGATAACTCATTAAGTGCCTGGGTGAATGAACACTCCCAGAAACTAGTACACTATCTTATGATTGCAGTGATATCAGATTTTTTTCTTGTTTTGTGTTGTTTGTTTGTTTTTTGGGTTTGTGTATATTTCCAATTTTTTTATTTTAGAAAATATTGATGCTGATGGACAGGGATTTTGTCAAGGAGGATTCAGCATTGATTTTACTAAAGTAAGTTCTCTTTTAAGACTAAATGAGATTCCAATCTACCTTATTGTCTAAATCATGGTTAAAAATTGGTCAATACTTCAGCTTCTCTATAACTATTACTTGTTTTATGAAAACAGCTAGTGAAAATGACCCATGCATTTCGACATTCTTTGCATTACATAATTCTTTTCCCTAGATATTGCTTTGTTGAAATTGACATCAAAATGGGAATGGAGGCCAGTAGCAGATCTCTTTAGTGGGTGGTAGAAAATGGTTATGACTTGATATCAAAATGGCCAGTTAGATTAATTTCTAGAATATTAAAGTTTTTTGTTTTTAGTTAAAGTTGACTTTTTACAAAAGTTATCAATGGGAGCTTTGTTACAAAATTAGTATATAGTCACGTAAGAGCTTAGAGGCACGCATATTTGCCATCTATCGTGTGCCCACAGGCACCAGTAAAACGGAAGCAATTTAATATAATGGACCTTATATTCAGGATTCTGTGTATTTTTAACGAAGCTAATATGCTTTCCCGAGTTGATAGTTTTTATCTAGTTTTCTAAAATAAAAATTGCATTGACATTTTCAAAGGAAAATTTTCTTTCCTTTATGTAATTTTGTGTGTGTGGATTTCTTTTTTTGGTGGGATGTGTGAACACTTTGAGAATGTCAAATTGAGAGTATCTAATTGAGAATATTAATTACTTTTTAGAGAATTCTCAAAACTAGGTTGATTAAAAATAGCTTCTTTGGAAAGCTTAATATGCCTTTCTTAGAATATGCAAGTAAGGAATGCCTTAAATTTATTTAAATAATAGCAACTATAATCATATGATTCAGAAAAACCAATAAAGCATTTTTTAAAAATTATATTTTATTAAAAGTCTTTAAAATAGGTCTTGATAGTTCTAGTTAGCTCTCCTTACTAAGTAATTGATTTTAATTTAGTCAATGTGAAATTCATAATGCAAAATTTAAGGAAGCAAAAAAGAGATAATGTTAAATACTAGGTTTAAACTTGCATGATATACAGGGTCCAGCACAAATAATGCCCCTTTTTTAGAACATAAAAATCTTTTGTTACAAAATCATAAGCATGTAATTCTGTAACATAACAGTATCACACTCAAGCACACCATATGACATTTTAGGTGAAACATTCAAATTGCTGTCCACCTCAAGCGAGACATGTACCCTACCAACCACACTCAGTGGCGTTACTTCTGCTGGACCCTGTATTTTCAGATAGGTATTGTATTTTTTTTAAAAAGTGTTGATGTATTCTATACCTATGCCTGTACAACTATAACCCAAGAAATATTCTCATATGGTGAATAGTCATTGCTAAATTAACTATTTACTTTCTTCAACGCATTTCTGAAAAAAAGGAGTCCTTTTAAAGCAGACAACTTAGAAGTCTCTATTCCATAGCCCGAAAGGGCTATATGAACATATGAACAGGGAGGTAATTTTTCTGACCTCCAGCATAATCTAAAATATTATGCTTAAACACTACATACTTGGAATTAGGTACATAGTTTGTTAGAGATATAAGAAATGTTAGTCAAGTGCAACTTGTGTATATAACATACTCTGAAAAATTCACCTTTTAACTTCACTCCTGTTTTGAGCTGCAGGACACTAAAAATTTCCCTATAGATGAAAAGTTTGTAGTGATTGTTGGGAATGAAGTTTGCGTATGTAGTCACAAATGTAATCTGCAGTGTTAAGGAGGGATTCTTCCCCTTATTGTTAGCTCCATAATTCTTTGCAGTAAGTACTCAGTACCAAATTTGTAAAACAGCCGAGATCCATATTAAAAGAATATATCATAACTTTCCATTTTTATTTTATTTTATTGTATTTTATGAAAGGTACAATGAACATAACTGAAACAGAGTTAGATGAGTTTGAGATTTATGATTATGTTTGCTTTAACATATATATATATGTTATAGTCATATATGTATGTATATATGTGGCTTTTGTTGTCTATTACATTGCTTTCAGTTTTTAAAGCTACCTGCTTTTAAATATGTATCTTCTTGTTGTTTGATTTATTCTAGGCTGACAGAGTACTTCTTGGTGGCCCTGGTAGCTTTTATTGGCAAGGTAGGTTAATGTTGTTTAAATTACCCAATGATGACTCTGTTTAAGACTTACCTGTCTTGCCCTGGCTGGTATAGCTCAGTGGATTGAACGCCTACCTTTGAACAGGAGGTTGCCAGTTCTATTCCCATTCAAGGCACATGCCTGGGTTGAGGGCCAGGTCCCCAGTGGGGGCCATGCAAGAGGCAACCACACATTGATATTTCTCTCCCTTTCTTTCTCCTTCCCTTCCCTTCTCTCTAAAAATAAATAAATTAAATCTTTAAAAAAAGACTCATCTGTCTTATAATGTGCCTATGAGATTTTTCAAATTATTTTAAAGAAATAGAAAAATACAATTTAGATGTAACACCACTGTACTATTATAATACTTATATATAGTATTTTTATATAAAATATATTACATAATATATAACATATTACATATACTCCTAGTAGAAAATAACCTGACTACTTTCAAAGTAAATTATGGAGTGATCTAAAATAATCCATTGCATTGTTTGTGGGGCAGACAGCTCCGCCTCAGTGCTCTGGAGCCACAATGTAATAAGCATTAGGGAGTGTGTGGAACTTACCTGTAATAGGTGAATCGTAGCATTATGAAAACTCATGGTTCTTAGAGTATTTTGAGTATGCTCATTGGAATATTTAAATGGTTACTTTCTCATTAATCATTGTTGTCAGGAATGATTTCTTTGTGTTTGAGGAGTTTTAAAAATGAGAATCTTACTAAGTTTCAAAAGAATATAATTATACTGGCATTGCTGATTGATGTGACGGTGAAACACTACATTCTTCAGTCATTCTGGGAAGTCTTAATAAAGTTACCATTTGAGTAAAGTGTAACAGACCATTTTTTGCTGAGAGTTTGAAAATAAGTAACTGAATCTGCTTGGATACACATGTTTATTTAATAGATTCACATGCTTATTTTTTGCTAACAAGTGCTGTTTACAAGGTTGGAACTCTGGTTTCTTGGTATTCTGAGAATCCAGCATTATCAGTATGTGGAAGAACAGGAAAAGCTCTGAATATTGATTTGAAAGTACTTTCTGATACTGGATTTTACTTCCGTACTTTACACTAGGTTTTTCTTACTTGCTGCTTTGTAAGAAAACCCATACTTTTGCTTTATAGAAAGGGAAGCTAAAGTAAGAAATTTCCTGAAGGAAAATAGGATGATAAGATAATGAGAAGGAATGAGAAATGAGAATCACTGAGAAGTTGGAAGGGATGGCAAAGGAGAGAATGAAAAAAAAAAAATCAGGCAAAGACCAGGATCAGTATGAGAGACATTAACTAAAACTACAACATTTGAATTTCTGTAAATTATACATCTATTGGAAATTGGAATGATTTAGGAAAATTATGCATGACTTTTACAACAAAAACAAAAATAGCTCAAATCGCATATGAGAAAATAAATGTGAATAATTATGATAGTAGGTATACAACGTAGACTTGTTCTTTCTTCTTCATGGCCAGGCATGGCATTCATTGGAGGGAACTGTCCCCTCAGCATGTGTGGGAACCAAAGATAGATTTTGTGATTCTCAGTCAGGGCTGCTTGTTAACTCTGTCTTTTCAAGAGACACAGCTGTGAACATATTTAAATTACTTGTTCTTTTAATACCTTGAGTATTGCACAATCTATGCATTCCTAGTTACTATAAATTTGGACAGATATAGATACCATTAATATTATGTTCATTGGAGTGTCATTATAAAGGGTATATAGTATGTAGCTAAAAGATTCAGTGACTGGGCAGAGAAAATGTTGTTTTAATCAGACTAAAATCAGCAGGCTTCACCCTGAATAATTATGTTAGAGTGAGTTTTCCCAGAGATTTCAGAGTTGTCTCTGTAAGAACAGAGAAAATGACGATGATGTTTTATTCCAGAGGATGGATTTTCCTGTGTTCTTTGCTTCAAAAAAGTATTTAATGAATTCCTTCCTGTGTGTTGGGTGCCGTTGAGGCACAGAGGGTCAAGTAGTGAGCCAGACAGAAAGTGTTTCTGCCCTGTAGATGCCACACATGTGACTGGACAAACTGGAGCAGGACTGAAGTTGCTAATATTATTGAATTTCGTTCTAAAACAGCAGAAATGAAGAGATTATTTTTCTCATGTTATGGAGATGGCATTTAATAAACCAGTCAACCTTTCTTGGGGCAGAGTTCGGTCTGATTTTTGTATAGTTGGCTAGATTTCTTGTCCCCCTAATTACTTCAGATTGTGAAGAGAAAGGAACTCACCCCATTCAGGCTGCTTCCTTTATAAAGGTGTCCAGATAATTTGGCATAGAAAAAAATCAATTGAACTAATAAGTTTTTATTATTAAGGTAAAAATATTTAATTACTGCAGTTGGTTTTTCAGGTTTCCATGAATTTGGTTTAGAAACAGCCCTTGATTTTATTATTCCATTTATTTAACATTGATTTCTTTAGTGAATTAAGACATTCTATATTTAGAAATTTGTGCTTATTAGCAGAGACCAATTTTAGGTACTAAGCTGAATAGAAATAATTAAAAATAACATCAAATTTCTGATTTACTATTATGAAGAAGAGTTATTTAAGGCTAATAATTAGAAATGCTAATATTTAATGCTATTTTCTTTCATGCAAGTGCCATCCATCATCTGCATCAGAGTTCCCATAAGAAAGTTATTTTATATATATATATATTTTTTTCCAGGTCAGCTCATATCAGATCAAGTGGCAGAAATTGTATCCAAATATGACCCCAAAGTTTATAGCATCACCTATAATAACCAGCTAGCAACTCGGACTGCACAAGCTGTTTTTGATGACAGTTATTTGGGTAGGTAACACCCAAATAGGGTTCATTTTCTGGAGTGGGGGTGGATTTATCCTGTATTTGCTGCTTTAAGTAGAAAATTTTTTTATGTAAAGTAGATAAAGGGTTTTTTTCTTAAATATAAGGAACATATAATTTCAAATTGTTAATGAGTTCTTAGGTTATATCATATTTCAGTAACTGAAATTGAAAAGCATGATTATTTATACTATGATGATAGTAATAGATGTAATAGGTAACCTTTAAGATATGCTTGCTGTATTCTGGGTATTGTACTCAGTACTTTTCAGTGTTAACTTATTTAATCCTCAGAAGAAGTGTATGAGAGTATACAGTTATTATTTTCATTTTATATAAAGATACTCAGGCAGAGAGGCAAAATAACTTGCCTGAAGTCATTCACTTACAGCTTTTGTTGGTTGGTTGTTTTACTCACTACAATCTGCTATTTTGAAATTCAAACCCAGACAGTCCTGGACTTTTATTGTTGACTATATTAAACTGTGGTTTTGTTCTTTAGAATTTATTAACTCTTGCTCTCTTTTTAAATTTCCCTTATTCATTAAACCAAGTACACTTGACAGAAGTAGTACTTTGCTGATTGAGAAAATCTTTTGTTACTACTTTATGATGAATCACAAATATACCGTTTTTAAATAACTCCTTTGTAGAATTGATAAACGTATTATTTTTCTATCAGATTAGCTCAGTTATTTTAAGACACATTTATCATACTCATATGAATGTAGTGCCCCTAGAGGACAAAATTAGAGGGATTTCTTGCAGGTATCCTGAAAGACAGTGGAGTCAGCTACCTGGTCTGGCCCTGATGCTATTTCTTTCGCCTTTGCTTTCCGGTTTAGGTTACTCCGTGGCTGTTGGCGATTTCAATGGTGATGGCATAGACGGTATGATGTGCTTCAACTATATTTCATCCTTTTCTAAAAATTTAGCCTAAGCTTTTGAAACTAGTGGCATTGAAAGTTTCAGGAGTTAAAGTGTTGTGAAACCATAGTTATGGAATGTAACGGGAGAAATGAGGAAGTCATCTCTACATTGGCAGGAGCTGGGTCTGCATTAAACTTCTTCTTCAGTAGTGGCTACAAGTGAGCCAGTGCTGGGGGCCTCAGTCTCTTCCCCATCTGCTCTTTTCCCAGCACTTTCAGTCATATCTTTAGTGCCTTCCCCACATCTTTCTGGAGACTCAGTCCTCTTGGAGAGACTTGGTTTCTTTTTTCTTTCTGCACAGTTTATAACCTCTTGGGGCTCTGTCAATATGGTTGTTACCTCACCCTTTCTCTGTCCATCATCCTTCAGAGCTCAATCCTGCAATCATAGACTTGACCTGATTTTGATCACGTTTCTGTGTAACTGCCACCTCTACCCTATTTCATTTGCTCTGTGTTGGTTTCCATTACTGTCAATATAGCTTTTCCTTCTTAGATCACTTGATCTTATTGTTCTTTTTAAACAGATTAGAAATGCCTTGAGGGCACTTCTATTTTGTAGATATTTAATTTTGTGGTTAAAATGCCCTGTGGTTATTTATTATTGGATACTAATTTTAAAAATCTTTTACTTATTATCTTTTGAAATAAATCTTAAATCTTTCTGACCTACCCCCTTTCTCCTCCAATTTCCAATATTGGTCTTAGAGATGAGTAATTAAAGAAGAAATGGAGTGCCCTGGATGGTGTGGCTCAGTTGGTTGGAGCGTCATCTGCAACTGGAAGCTTGCAGGGTCGATTCCTGGTCAGGGCACATGCCTGGTTACAGTCTCATCCCCTGTCCGGTCACTTACACATAGGTCAACCATTGATGTTTCTCTCTCCCATTGATGTTTTTTGCTCTCCTTCTTCTCTTTCTAAAAAGCTATGGTAAAATGTCCTCAGGTAGGGATTAAAATTTTTTTTCAAGTAAGTAACTAATTTTTTTTTCTTTTCAGACTTTGTTTCAGGCGTTCCAAGAGCAGCGAGGACTTTAGGAATGGTAGGAAAGTTAAAAAGTGTTTTTAAAAAAATCTCTGGGTTATCTTATATTTTCCTATATTTCATATACTTTTGTTTTTCCTGCATAGGTTTATATTTATGATGGGAAAAACATGTCATCCTTACACAATTTTACTGGTGAGCAGGTATGCTTTAAAATGATTTTTTCAGTTAACATCTTAATACCAGCATTTCCTAATGTCTTAGAATTTTTCTTGCCAATATCCTAATGGTTTAATATTCAATGTATAATAAATATTCGTTCAATATTATGGATATAAAATAGACTTGAAATATTTCATACTTGTTTTAACCAAAGTGATTTGTTTAAGAAATTACTTTTATAATTGCATATTATGGTTTTTTTTTTTAAAGGAAATACAAAATCAAATCGCTTACACACAAAGCCAAAAACTTCCTTTCTTTTTGCTGATGACATTCACTTCTCCTTTAAGGAATGATCTAAGATTTTTCATTGTATTAGATGCAATTTTATTAAATACGTTAATAATGATAAAAGAGAAGTTAATTAGTGCCAGAGGAAAAACACTTCTAGTTTCCAGATGGGGGGGTTCAGGCCCACTTCTTATCCGGCTGAGATGGTGGGGCTTTGCCAGAGCATTGACGGGAGGAGGAACTAGACCCGAGGTCTCCCACAACCTCTTCCCGTTTGTGGGGCAGCCAGGGAGGAAGCGCAGGGTTGTGTTATGACAGGCAGGTGTGGGTATCTCTTTGTGCTGTTGTGACTTCTTTAGCTTAAGAAGCGTCTCCTGCAGGCAGTCCCTGATCCTCCTTGGCTGTTTGTGGGGGAAAACTTGGGCTTTGCTTTAGGACCATTAGGACAGACCTGGACTCTCCATACTCAGTATTATTGCCCTGGGCAAGGGGTTTACCACTGTAAATCCCATGTCTCATGTGTAAAAACAAGGATACTGGTAACTTCCTCATGAGGCTGCGGTGAGAACCAAATGAAAGCATATCAATCATAGTGCCCAGGACAAAACTTGTCTCGGGAAATGGCATCCTTTCTTTATGTTTTCAGGCCACACACCCTGAGAGAATAAGGCTCAAGCATAGTATTCTGTTAAATTTCAGTCATCACATCAACATGGTACCCCAAATACAATGCACTTTGTTATTCATGCTCTTACCTTGTACTGGAATGCAGAATGTGTCTTTCGTTTTCTCAATTACACTGTATCAACCCAAAATAGATAATGTAGGAATCCCCTCAATCATTCCTTCCTGGTATCTCTGCTAATCAAATTTTGGAAGTTTTGCTAACTTGACTGTTTTGGATTAGTTCATCTTTAATTCGTCATCTCCCTAGTTTTGCTTTGCATGGTGGGTTCTCTTTAGAACTTTCCTTTTTCCTGTGTATTTCCAGCCAGGCTGCTCTGTCTGTGATGACCAGCGGTCTGTTGTGGTAGAGAGAGGACATTCCTGCCCCTTCTGCATAATAAACCCATGATAAACCCACGCACATTTGTACTGTGTGTGATTCAAAAGCAAAACCACTGGCATGTGATCAGTTCAAATGTGAGACAAAGATCTGAGTTCTATTCCCTGCCTTTCCAAACAGTAATTTCTTTAAAGTTGAAATAGCTTCATGTAGGGAGAGCTGATTATGACCTATGGGTCATTATTATCTATTACCTCTACTGCATAGACATCCATTTATAGCCTCTCGGATTCAGGTAAAACATTTGTCCATGACTGAATGTCTTTCTGATAGCATGTCTGCTTCTGGTGTTTTCTGGATCGTGGAGAAGGGACAGAATAGATTAGGCCTGGGAAGGAGCATTGACTTACTTGGACTTAAATGGTGTGTGTTTAGGTCACTGAAATAACATGCATGGGATATATTTTGCTCATAAATCTAGGAAAAGAAGCCTTATTACCTGATTGTCACTGTGTTGGTATAATAAACAAAAGAGAAGAAATTTAGACTGAAATACTATATGCAGAGGGAAGAAAATCCTTTTCACTTGATAAATATACTACAAATATCAATTGTTAAACTAGTTGGAAGAAACATAGTCACTTCTTTTTCTTCTTATCCAGATGGCTGCATATTTTGGATTTTCTGTCGCTGCCACTGACATTAATGGGGATGAGTAAGTTTTAAAAAATGTTTCCAGAAAGTTTTCCTCTTGTGTTTATGAACACTTTGCTAAAACTAAACATTTCTTCTTCTGTTTCTCTGTCCCTTTCCTGCTAATTTTTCAATTCAGGGAACCAATTTGAAGCAATCTTACCATGAAATCTAGAAAACCTCTATGTTTTCCATAATTTCTTTCAATAGCTTTGATAATAATAAAGGAATGAAGTAATTTGATGAATTACGCATAGTTTTGAAAGAGTTGAAGGAATGTTCCAATTTGAAATGATCTTTTTATGCTTTCAGTGTGGCTATGGGAGGTGTGGAGAGAGGAAGTGGGATTTTAATAAGGAAGTGATTAGTAACAGTCAGATGGAATTTGATCTTGCTTTCATGGAAACGATTCTGTTCTGTTAGTTATGCAGATGTGTTCATTGGCGCACCTCTATTCATGGATCGTGGTTCGGACGGCAAACTCCAAGAGGTGGGACAGGTCTCAGTGTCTCTGCAAAGAGCTTCGGGAGACTTCCAGACAACCAAGCTGAATGGGTTTGAAGTCTTTGCAAGGTTTGGCAGTGCCATAGCACCTTTGGGAGACCTGGACCAGGATGGCTTCAATGGTAAGATCAAAGTCCAGCAGCTGTGAGTCCCCGATTTTCTGTGTCCATTTGGAAAAGTTCTGTACTCCCATGTGCAGCCCTCCTTCTTGGAGAGAATTTGAGTGACAGTTAGTGACACACTAGGTTAAATGTCAAGTTGTTCTTCTTCATTAAAAATAAGAGCAGAAATTTAAAAAGTTGATTCTCTTGAGTTATCATTCAAGCAACCTCAAAATCGAGTGTTCGAATAGTTGATCTGAAAGGAACTTGCATCAGCTTGGAGCCCTGCTGAGCTGGTGATTATGTCTCCTGCTTGGGGACAGTGCCCTCTGCTGTCCATTTGGGTACAAGTGTAAAGTAAATGCCCAGGCACATTGTCCTGTCTGGCTACTGCTGCCTGTAATGCATACTTCAAGCTATAACTTTGTTGTGGCTGTCCATAATGTTTTTTTTTATTTATTGTTGTTCAAGTACAGTTTTGTCCATAATGTTTTGAGGGAAGTTATATCTCCCTTCGTGAGGGCAAGTAAAAGGAATAGATAGCTCATGGTTTTATAATAGTGCCGTTTAATAATTCCATTAATAGCTATAGATATTTTTAAAAACCTACGTTGGCTTTGCTATAGAATGAAATACAGATTACACATTACCAAGATTATTTTAAAGAGTACTATTAAAAACATTTCCAAAATTCACAGAATAGAGAGGTGAACTGTTAGTTTGTGTCATCAACAATATCAGGGGTATGCCCACTAAAATTTAAAAAAAGTTATAGATTAAGAAGAAAACTTCAAAAAATACAGAGGATTATCTCCCAAGAAGTAGTGGAAAAGGAAAACATTAGTTTGGTCATATAAAGGTCAAAGTAGAACTTGAAAGAATACTATAGAACACACCCAGTCTACTTTTTGATAACAAGAACTACCTAGAAAACACAGGGCTGGCTGTGAGGTTATGTTTCGAGTAAAGTGGGTTCTTTGCTGTCGCCGGGCCTCCGTCTCCAGGTGTTCTGGGAGAGCCTGGCCCCGTTTGCCATCACCTCGTCTTGAGTGTATATCCCAGCCTCTTTAAAGAGACTTTACTTAATGTAAGGATCTGGCTAAAACTTTATCCTGCTTTCTATTTTTTCATTAAAATGTATCATCTGTGAGCATAACAGTTAAAAATAGCAAAAAAATATAGAAGTTTAACAACTTTTAAAGAGAGGTTTTTTTTTTTTCTAGAGCTAGATACCATAGAGCATCAATTTTCAGCCTTTGTTATCTCCGTGGCACATATAAACTACTGAAATTCTGCGACACACCAAAAATATATATTTTGTGCTGACCTGACCAAAAATAGGTACAATTCTTACTCATTCACACAGGATGGGCATTGTTGTGTTGGCTGTTCAGTCCTTTCTTTTTCACTTGACAAAGGAAAAGAGGCCAGTGCCCTGACTTAGTAGTCAGGTCGTGCATGTTGGAGAGATTCATGCGGCACGCCAGTTGAAAATCTTGCCATAGAGGATGATCTTGTTCTCCCAGGGTTTCTTCTGGGGTCTTACTGTCCCAAATAGGAGATTGTGAATGATAATGTCTTTAGTGGAAGATTATCTGAGCTGTGTTTATGTCGATACATATATTTATATTTTGTATATAGCTATAGTTTATACATATAAAGTGAACTACCACTTATAACCTGGATCTTTGTTCCAACCTGATGACATTAACCCTTTGTACTCCTGTATTCCTCCCTTCCCCCCCCCCCCGCCCTGGGGAAACCCCAGGTATCATCAAGAGGGATTCTGAAAACAAAACAAGAAAGTTAGGTTCCACAGTGTTGAGCAGTTTCTCTCAATACCCCTCCAGAAAGGCAGAATGAAAGAAAGAAAAAAGAAAAAAAAAAACAGAAAAGAGCAGTTCAAATGATCAAAGAGAGAAACTGGTTGCATGAAAAAGCAGGACTCGCCAGTCTAGACAGATGCCAGCCAAGAGAGATGACTAGAATGTGTAAAATAGCGAGAGTCTTAGAAAAGTTAGAGATCATTTTTATTGTAATGATATTTTAACACTAGAGCCATCTTCCTTTGGAAAATTACATTCTTATGACTACTTTCTTAAGGTTTATGTCAATTTTAGAGTTAGGCTCATCTTTTGAAACTTGAACAAGGATAATGTAAATATTACTTACATAATATAATACAACTTTTTTAAGGATAAAAAATTCTTCGTTGGTGCTCACTGCAGGCCAGCAACTGTTCTAGGTGCCAGAGATGAGAGGATGAATTAGAGCCCATCCATGTCCTTGGGGAATTTAGCATCAATATGGCAACTTTTATGTAAATGAGTAAATACTAGAATGTAATCACCACAGTGTTGGGGATATTCCGGGGCCTAAGGGTCTCATACAAAAGATGAATGATCAGGTCATCTTTGTTGTCTCAGGATGCTGCATCGAGGAGGCCGGAAACGTTTGGGGGTGTTAAGTAAGCTGAGGCAGTTTGGAAGGGCTAGTGTGTAAGGACTGTCACAGGCAAGATGGACACGTCTTGCTCTCAGGAAACTTTTTGGTGGAAGAGCCATCGAGTAAACACCCAGTGAGAAATTCAGGTAGTGAAAAGGTTGAGGGTTTAAAACAATAAAAGGGCAAGGTAATACAATAGTGTGGTTGAGAGGTGGGAATGTAGTGCTTCTTAGTGTGGCCAGGGAGGACATTCCTGGCAAGATGGCATTTAGTCTATGATTTGGATAAATAGAAGGAGCAAAGCTTGGAAGGCTTTGGAGCAAGAGCTGGTAAGGCAGAAGGGAACTGCAATTATAAACCCAGAGATGGGAACTGGCTTGGCGTGTTTGAGAAAAAGGCCAGGCTTGGTAGGAAGAGTGAGTGAGGGTTAGAATTGGGTGGGAGTTGTGGGGAGGCAGGATTGACTTGAAAAACCAGGTAGCATTTAAAGCTTTGGGAAATAATTGAAGGACTTTAAGAAGGAAGGCTACATACTATTGAAGTTTGGCAGCTTGAGGAGAATGGATTATAGGAGCAAGAGTAGAAGTGGAAGACCCTGGCTGGCACAGCTCAGTGGGTTGAGCACGGGCTTCGAACCAAAGCATCACAGGTTCGATTCCCAGTCAGGGCACATGCCTGGGTTGCAGGCCACAGCCCCCAGCAACCACACATTGATATTTCTCTCTCTCTCTTTCTCCCTCCCTTCCCTCTCTAAAAATAAATAAATAAAATCTTAAAAAAAAAACTTCAGTTAAAAAAAAGAGTAGAAGTGGAAAGCCACTTGCTCTGCTTTCGGGATCCACACCAAGGATGGTCTGGAGGCAGGGGCAGAGGGAGATGGACATATTGGTAAAATATTTTAGAGTTAGGAAAGGTCATAGTGACTATTTTTTTCTTTTTAAAAGAATTTCAAACTTTTTATTTGTTTATTTCAATGTAAGTTGAGCAAGATGGTGAATTCTTAACTTTCAAGTTTCGGAGTCAGATTGGCTTCTGTTTAAAAAAAAACAACCCCACACCATGCCCAACTAAATTAACTAGAATGTTGAAAGCTAGAATGAACTTTAGAGGAATGTTTTGACATATCACCCTCCCCTGCATGAAAGGATGAGGTATTTGCGGTCCAGAAAGGTTAACTGATTTGTCCAAAGTCAAGCCCAGAATATCTGGCTCCAATTCATGTAATTTCCATATAGTTCTACTTGAATTTCCTTGAATTATATTGTTGCTTTTGTATAAAGAATACTTTACTGAACTTTGAGTCAATATTTATCTGATAAATGGGTCCTATAAATATTAAGATCTTCACATAAATAATGATAAGTACTAAGACTTCCTTCTTTCCATCCTCCTTGTCTCCTTCCTTTCTTCTCCTTCTCCTCCTCCTCTTCTCACCATCTCCTCCCCCACCCCTTTTTCCTTTTTCTCTGCAGATATTGCGATTGCTGCTCCCTATGGGGGTGAAGATAAAAAAGGAATTGTTTATATTTTCAATGGAAGATCAACGGGCTTGAATGCAGTGCCATCTCAAATCCTGGAAGGGAAGTGGGCTGCCCAGAGCATGCCACCGAGCTTCGGCTATTCAATGAAGGGAGCCACAGATATAGACAAAAATGGATATCCAGGTACTTTCCTAGAAATACATAGAACTTCATAGATTTTTTGGTCCTAATAGCAAATAGTTACTGTGCTCTGGGTTTATGTTATAAATTATTTCAATTCAATATTTCAAGTACAGTTTAAGCCCTACTGTTGTTTAAGGAACTGTTCTTATTATTGAAAGGGATATGAACTAAGTGCAGCTCAATTTCCTGGGAGTTTCCTATTAAAAAACGCATTCTCTGAGTTTCTTTTATTGTTTTGAGGTTTGTGATGGAATGTCAGAGAAAAATATTCTAGAAGTTATAAACAAAGATAAATGCTCGTTCTAAATTGTTGAATGTTATCCCTTTTTTATTTTCAGTAATCTAACATTTTTATGGACTTGAATAATCACTGTGACTTAAAAATATATTATTTAATTGTCTCAATAAGGCGTGTGAAGAGTATAAGCTAGCTCAGCTCATTATTATACCATTTTCTGGATGAGAAAAGAGACAGAAAGGTAATTTGCCCCACCTTCCCCACTGGTTTGAGCCAGTACAGAAAGTGAGATTTTTTTTCCCTGGCTCATATATACTTTGGAATATTATAATGGACTTAGGATCATAATGGGTCTATTCTTTACATGAAATGTAGTACAGAAAATTTAGACTACCCTTGTTGTCGAAGCAGTTAATATTAGCTCAATATGCAAGTATGTAGAAGTGCTTGTAGAAATAAGACAGTAAGTTGATTCTTACGTCAGTGTTAATTCAAGAATTTTTTGAATAAGTGCAGTATAATTATAGAACTTTTTGAAAATATTGTGAAACATTTTATAATTTCTTTTCAGTGCATTCATGTACATTTTTTAACAAAACAAAATTATACTTAATGTACTATTAGCATATTTAATTCATGTAATGTATCAGAAATGTTTCCTTAAGTTATTTTTCTTCCAAGGCTTGAACTTTATATTTTCCATTTTCTCACATGGCTGTATCATATATTATTTAACCTTATTGTGGGACATTTATATTCTTGTATATAAGTTTGCTGCATGTATCTGATTATTTCCTTAGAACAAAGTTTTAGAATTGCTATATAAAAGCTAAGCACTGGTTTTTCTTTTTAAGTTGATACACATGGTCAAATCACATTCCCACTCACTCCAAAAGTTTTTGCAACTTTTTAAAGCACAGCAGTAAATGAGTGGTCATTTTTGCACATTTGTGCCCATATTAGGTGTCATCTTTTGTTTCTTTGATTTTTGTTTTATTATTTTTTAAGATTTTATTTATTTACTTTTAGAGAGAGGGGGAGGGAAGGAGAAAGAGAGGGAGAGAAACATCAATGTGTGAGAGATATAGTGATTGGTTGCCTCTCATGTGCCCCCAACTGGAGACCTGGCTCTCTACCCAGGCATGTGCCCTGATTGGGAATCGAACCGGCAACTTTTCAGTTCACAGCCCAGCACTCAATCCACTGAGCCACACCAGCTACGGCTTTTGTTCCTTTTAAAGTAACTTTATGTGATATGTGGAAAACATTATCTCATTTTATAGTTTTTAATCATTAGTGAGGGGGTAAACATTTTGGTTTATTTGCATATATTTACTTTTGTGAATTTCTTTTTTTACATCTTTTTTTCCTCTGTTTCTATTGGGATATTTTACTTTCATTAGTTCACTTTTTTAAACTTGTGGCAGTACCTTAAATATTGAGGATATTAACTCCTTAACTCATATGCATGGGTGGGCAAAAGTAAGTTTACAGTTGTTTGTGTGGAAAATAATACAATAATTAGTAAAAAATAATACAAGAATAAACTCTGTTTCATATTCTCACAACTGTAAACTTGCTTTTGCGCACCCCTGTGTATTTCTTAGGTTGTCACATTTGCTTTGGGGGCATACATAAGTTCTTAATTTTGATGTAATACAGTCTGCCTGTCTTTATGGTTTTTTCATGTACTTTTCTGCCTAGATAGGGTTCATCAAATTGAGCATGGCTATACTATGAGAGAGACCTCTGATTCCTTTATTTCTAATTGTGAATCATTTTTACCTGTTACATATAAAAACTAATGCATTCTGTTTTTGTTGATTTGAGTGCTATCTCCTATCATTCTAAATATATGGAATATGCTTTTTGGTTTTGTTTTGTTTTTTAAATAAAGTAAAGAAAAAATTTAAAAAAGCTTTACAATGAAATTGTAAAATGCATAAGTATCTATCGATCTGGACTTTTCCTTTGGTGTACATGTGTTTAGGGGTTATACTTCCCATTGTTGCAGATTTTTACTTAGTATTCATGAAAAAGATTTTTGCCTACCTAAATGAAATACTAGTTTTATGTGAGTGTTTGCCATTGATGATAGCTTATTTCGAATTTTTAGCCTTTTAGAGGTTATTTTAAACAACCTAATGAAGATAGTTTTCAGACTATGTCTAGAAATTGTATTTATTAAAAGTTTTATAGGATGGTATGTGAATTTTTTTAAAGATCTTATTTATTTATTTTTAGAGAGGGAAGGGAGAGAGAAAGAGAGAGAGAAGAGAAACATCAATGTGTGGTTGCTGGGGGCCGTGGCCTGAAACCCAGGCATGTGCCCTGACTGGGAATCAAACCTGTGATGCTTTGGTTTGAAGCCTGTGCTCAATCCACTGAGCTATGCCAGCCAGGGCTTGGTATGTGAATTTAAAAAAAATCATCATTATTAACATTTTTCTCTACTCTCTTTTAAGACTTAATTGTAGGAGCTTTTGGTGTGGATAGAGCTGTGTTATACAGGTGAGCATGTTTCCATATCCTGTACTATTGTGAATTATTTGGAAGTTTTATAGTTAAGTACCAGTATTTGAATTTAAGTTTAATTTTCTGGAAGTAGTGGTAAAATTTGTTTGCTCTTTCGATTTAAGATTTACTGCAGGCAAATAGTATTTGCACAAGGAGACCTCAAGTAGAGAAAGTTGTAATTTTTTATTTAAAAAGCATTTAGAATTGCCCTCTTTGTTTTTGAAATTGTGTCTAGAGATATTCTTCTACATATTAAATTTCTCTGAAAAAATTACAGGAGTTCACGTTTTCCTCTGAGAGATAAGAAATTAACTTGGTGTTTGTGCCACCACGTTCTGTGACTGCAAAGGCAGTATGTAATGACTTCCAAAATAAATATTTTTTAAAGCAGTGTGTAAATCCACATAACCATATTTCCCTGCTTTATACAGACACCCAATTAATTCTTTTTAGTTCATCAATTACTTATGCTCAAGAATATCATCTGGCATCCCAAGTAGATTCAATGTTTACTCCGCTATGGGCCATGTTCACACCTAGAAGGAAGACCGACATTGAAACTGTATAGCGGAGCTGGTGATGGGTCAGCTAGCTTGTGGCTCTCAGGATGGCGTGTTTTCGTACAGATTCCAGGGTTTACTGTGATTGGACAGGCATACTGTCCTGAGCCTAGTGTATTTTTAAATTTGTACAATTGAACTTTGGGAAATTATTTTAATTTATTGTTTCAGTTTTTAATTCAGTTTTTAAATGGCCATTAACAAAGTAATACACACACATAGTAAATATTCAAATAATGTAAAAAGGGCACACAACAAAAATCTCTTCTCACACTAGTTACTAGTTTATTAGTATATCCTAGTAGAAATGTTCTGTGCATTAAAAAATTGTGTGTGTGTGAGTCCTTTGTACATTGTGGGTTTTTTTCCCTGTCACACCACGATTATATCTTGTATCTATCTTCGAGATTGTCCATAACGACACAGGTGGATTGGTGGATTTACGGCACTTACTTTCCCTGCTGTATTGCATTGTATTGGATACATATCCCATGACACATTTAACCATTCTGCTTTGATGGACAGAGTTCAGATAATTTGACTAAGTGTCCCAGTTTGCTTGGAACTGAGGAATTTAACAGGTCATAGGACTTTCAGTGCTAAAATCAGGGCAGTCCTGGGCAAACTGGGACAGTTGGTCATTTTAAGTTGTTTCTGATTCTTTTCTTTTTTTTTTTTTTTTTGCTTTTTTGAACAATGCTTCAGTAAACATTGCACTACGTGTGCAGTGAATGTGAACCTGAAATGTCTAGATCAATGTAACTTTTTAAAAATAACTTTTTAATTTTCCTTTCCTTATTTCCTCTCTTTCTTTTCCTTTCCTCCTTCTACCCTTCCTTCCCTTCCTCTTCCTTCTCCTTCCCCTTCTCCTTTTCTCCCTCTCTTTCTTTTCCTCCCTCTCTCTCTTTCATACACATACTCTCTCTAACAGAGCCAGACCAGTTATCACTGTAAATGCTGGCCTTGAAGTGTACCCTAGCATTTTAAATCAAGACAATAAAACCTGCCCACTGCCTGGGACAGATCTGAAAGTTTCCTGGTAAGAGTATTAGTTTAATGATAGTTATTATTCATTCAGTTATTACAAAAACAGTTAAAAATGAAGTATGGGTGTACTCTGTTTTTATGTCATAGATTAAATTACAGAAATACCATTCCAAAGCAGATATGAAGAAAGCTTTAGAAATATGCTAAAAACTAGTGTAAAATTTCTAGAAATGATACATACTCATTGTATATATTCAGAAAGAAGGAAAAGCTAATAAGATCTCAGAACTTATTTATATTTTATATTTAATTCTAAAAAGCCCATGAATATTTTACATTTTAAAAGGTATGATCTTTTCACATTCAATATCTGTGAGTAGCTGTATGAAAAATATTATTTGGCTCTAATATACCAGTCATCTACTTATTCCCTTACTAGTTTCTAAAGGAAAAGTTTTTTGGTTTTTTTTTTGTAAATTTAATGTGCGAATTCTTGTATAGTCCAGTGTTTTTCAGGTCTCCATTATTTTTATGCTACTCTGTTATATTGTATGATTTTGCTATATTTTCATTCTACCTGTATTTATAATTTTCTTAAGATGTTTTTCTTTAAATTGACCTATGTTTTGCTTTAAAACATTTTAAAATAAAATAGAGACACAAGTATCTTTCTCTTACATGTCAAAATAAATATAACCTTAGAAATGAGAAATCTTGACTCATATACTATTAATCACCATGAATAACCCACTTTGGGAAACAGTATTCAAGTTCCTGGCACACAGAAAAATAGAGAACTACAGATGAAAGTAGAATGACTGGAAGCTGAAGAAATTTTGTTTCAAAAGAGCTACTGAAAAAAATATTTTTCCTGATATTGGTTTTGAATTAGTATTATAGTTATTAAAATCAGTCTTCAAAATTTTATTTCATTTAATTGCATTAAGATTCTGTAATATTACTTTTCACTTCTACTCATTGGTATTAAAGTTGCTTTCAAGATTTTTGACTTTTAAGATTTTCTGCCTTTCTTACCTTCACTCACCCTAGCAAGTCCCTGTGAAGGTGCTAATAATATGCTTATAATTATGCTAATAATTTGAAGGCTTTCAATATACTAAAGCAGTAGCTTTTGTATATTTTTTATGATGATGCATAGTACAAAATACATTTTGCATTATAATCCAGTATATACATGTATATAATTGAAAGAAACGTTTCGTGAAATCTCAGCCTTGATACCTGAAGTGAATTTTATTTATGTAATTAGTTTTCTTTATTATGCTGGACACAACCCATTAAACTGATTCTAGCACTTGTTAGTAAATTGGGAAGAACGCTGTCCTACAGGAATTTGCTGGTTAAAGGAACCTTTGGTGGGGCTTTTTTTTTTTTAAGTAAATTTTCTTTTTTTTTATTTTATTTATTTATTTTTAGAGAAGGAAGGGAGGGAGATAGAGACAGAGAGAGAGAGAGACAGCAATGTGAGGTTGCTGGGGGTCACGGCCTGCAACCCAGGCATGTACCCTGGCTGGGAATCGAACCCGCAACACTTTGGTTCGCAGCCTGCGCTCAATCCACTGAGCTACGCCAGCCAGGGCTTTGGTGGGGCTTTTTATTAAATGGTACATTATTTTAAATCTGGACTGTCATTTCCCTCATTGAGATCAACAGCTTCTATAAGAGGAAGTTTGGAAATTCTTTTGTTTTTCCCCTCATCAAAGGAAGTGTGCTTAAGTTCTTTCCTATGAAGGGAAGTGTGCTTAAGTTATTGAAAGATGAATTAGATTATTCTGTATAGTTTCATGTTGTAAATATAGTATTAAGACATGGAGAAAGATATAAACTTTCACAGAATAAACTGTATGAGAAATGGGAGATTTTTGTGGTATTTAAAATGTCTAAACTGAATTACAGGATTTGTATATATATATTTTTTATTTTCTACAGTTTTAACGTCAGGTTCTGCTTAAAGGCAGATGGCAAAGGAGCACTTCCCACCAAACTTAGTAAGTGTTCTGTGGAAAAATTGTGTGATTTTGGAGATGCTGCATACATAACACTTAAAAATGTTTTAGGATATTTGAGTAGTTACTCAAATAGTTGTTAATATTGTTTTTTATTTGAATGTTTACTTTTAAAGCCATTTAATATTGTAGCATAATTACTTTCTTGGAAACTCTTAACCCAGTTCAGAAATAATACGTTTATTTATTGGCATTGTGAACAAAACAGCCCACTGAATTGTAAATATGTTTACAAAGTTGTGAGAAAAATGAGCTTGAGGGGAATGAGTATTATTGTTTATAAGTAGACGATCTACTGAGAACTTGATATTTTATGTCTTGAAGAAGTCCCCAGCAATCTCTGGAAGAGAGATGGTTTAGAAATAGTGAGAAGGAGGAGACAGAGTTTCAGCACTAAGTTTAGTCCCGATAGCAAGCTCAGACTCTTCATTTCCAAAGTATGGTTTATGTGGTCCTGAGAACAAGGTGGGGAGTTAAGTAATTGTTGTCAAGACTGTCAGTATGTTAGTGCCAAGTGCTAAGGTGTAATAATGTAGCAGGGGAAGAGGACTGAACCTCTTGTATGTGTGTTGCTGCATGAAAGTTCACGTAGTGTGGCAAGGAAAGGGAGGAGCTAGGGGACGTCTAGAGGAGTATTTTACGTAGAGGAAATGGCAATTTCAAGAGGCCAGAGGTAAGAGCATGCTTTCTGTATTTGAGAAACAACAAGGAAGGCAGTGTGGGTGTGTGGAACAGAACTGGAAGCAAAATAATCCTGGGTTTTCACCCAAATTTGACATGAAGTTCAACATTTAGAGAAACTTGAAAGATTTGTGAATTTAAAGATCTGCACTCTTACCTATTTGGAAGAAACTGCTTAAAGACCTGGATCTTAGAAGCAGTGAGCCTAGCAACTGCACTTCAGACTATTGGCAGCACATTCACTTTAAGGTGATTCTAGACCCAAACAACTGTATTTGGCCCCTTGCTTCATCAGGGACATGTTATGTCACACTTTGATATGGTAGCTGTTCATTCATTGTGTTTAATGTATTGGTATGCATGCATAATAGTAAATATTTCTTAGTCACAATCATCAAGAGTCGTGCTACTTGCATTAATGGCTAACGTCTCAATTTACATACATTTCATGCTCTGAACTTCCTCCTCTCAGTTTAATAATTTAATACAGAAGAGAAATTTCTCCTCTTATCTGGTAGTTGTTTTACTACCATCATTATCTGTTGTCTGAATTAATATGACATTACTTTGGAGACAGTTGGATTAATTATTAAACATTTATTCAGAATTAATATGTTGTGTTCTCACTACGATGTATAGATATGCTTAATGAATTAGAAGCCAATTACATACAGGAATAGAAAGCTCTGTTTATCTGAAAACTTATGATATCTAGGACAGATAGGTGTTCATACAGATTATGTTGGTTATAAATCCTTTGGTTTGTATAGATTTCCAGGTGGAACTTCTTTTGGATAAACTCAAGCAAAAAGGAGCAATTCGACGAGCACTGTTTCTCCATAACAGGTCCCCGGGTCACTCCAAGAACATGACCATTTCCCGGGGCGGCCAGATGCAGTGTGAGGAACTGATAGCATATCTGCGGGTAAGAGCTAGTTCTCTACTCCATTGTATTGTTTTTTTACTTACTGTTTTTGCTTTGTATCTAAATGATTTTCACATTCTATACATTTTTGGTTATTAAATCAATAGGAAAGCACATCAAAATAGTCTTGAGGAAGTGTGGCTTTTTAAAATGTCGAACCTGAGTGATGGACTTCTATTCCTGGTAGACTAGAGAGTTCAAATAGTCTTCCCACGATAATGCTACTGAATAAATTATGACAAATGTATTTCTTAAAAACTGCAGGACTCTCAAGACGGTACAAGAAATTTCTAGGGTCCCCCAAATGACCAACCAATTTGAAAACTTCATTGGCTAAAGCTTACTTGTGAGTTGTAAGCAAATGTGTCCCCCAGGGTTACTGGTGTGGGTAGAGCCAGGGCAGAGGGTGAGCAGTAACTGCGGACAGCAGCGCAGGGGTTCAGACTTGCCTGGGGCCTTCTGCCAGCCAGGGGGCCAGGCCTCCTGCTTCAGGTCTGCACACTTGCACGAGGCTAAAGTGTTTCAAGAGTGAAGGTGCAACCTGACTTCGGCAAAATGAAATGCAGTGCCTCTCTGTAACACTCTGGTATGGCACCAATAATTTCTGCAGGTTAAGTTAAATTTATTTTTTTTAAAAGCTAAATATAAGCTATTAGAAAAACGAACAAACAGATATTAGACTTCAGAGGCTTGAGATGTTAGAATTATCGGTTATAGAATATAAATTTGTGTAAAATGTTTAAAGCAATAAATCATGAAAGTTCTAAAAAAAAAAGACCAAAATATTAGGAAAGATTTAGAAGAATGCATCTTTAACAGACCTACATGGAACTGGGAAACTAGCAATTAGAGACTATAAAAATTGATCATTTATAGGTCATAAAGAGGTTTAAACAAATTTCAAAAAGTTGGTATAGAAAATATGCTATTTGATCACAGTGCAATTTTTAGAAATCAATAACAAAAAGATACATTGGGAAGTAGGAACTGTGATTGTAAATAACATGGATCAAAGAAGAGATCATAATGGAAATTTACTTAGAAGTGAACCATAATGAAAATACTGGATATCAAAATGTTTGGGGATCCAAAATAGTCACAGAGTAGGTGGATATTACACTCATGTCTTCCCACGACTACACTGGGATTACAACTAAAGTATATAGCAAGCAACCTGAACAACCAACTGAAGATTAGCTAAAGAGAGCCCTTTTTTCTTTTTTATTGAGTTTATTGGAGATGACATTGGTTAATAAAATTATATATAAGGATGTACACTTCTGTAATACATCACCTGTATATTGTGTTGTGTTTGTTCACCACCCCAAGTCGAGAAATCTTAAAACCAAGGATTTACAGAAGAAACCACATTAACATTGGTAGGAAGGGTGGAGGAGTGAAAAGAGTTGTCCTGCTTTCACAGGCAGCTGAGATTCTAGAGGGATATCTCAGTTTACGGGGTCCCCCTGAGAAGTGTGGAGTCTCATCCCCAAGCCCAACTTCCCAGTCCACAGCACCAGAGCTGGGAAAGGAGCCCACATTACATCTGACTGTGAAAATCCTCATGCACCCTGTTAAAGGACGAACACACAAAAACAGGTTTCAGCCACTGGCCCTGGGCTCTGGCAGAGGGAGGGTGGAATGGAATAGAGTTGTGTGAGTAGAGACTGGGGTTTGTGATTCTGCAGAGAGAGGTGAAGGGACAGTGGTCAGGATCCCTGAGCTGAGTCACTGTCCCACTCAACAGATCATCTGTCTTCCGTGGAGCAATACCTTCTTTAGGGCATCAGCCTGGGGGAATGCAATAGCCCCATGCTCTGGACTCCTGTAGCCCTGCCCTGAAGAGCTTGCGCCCTGCTGAGGAGTCAGCCGCCTGGACAGGGGTGTAGAGGTCTAGGCAGACTCGGGGTTTCAGTGACTGAGATGAGGCTTTGGGGTGGGGGCCATTTTCCCCGCCTTTCCCATGAAACAGACTGCTGCCTTCCCCTCACAGGAGATCTGCTAGCCCCACTCTCCTGACTCCCGGTGGCCCCACCCTTCCAGTTCCCAGTGGCTCCAGCTCATTGAATTCTAAGCAGAAGCTGGTACAAACTGAATTGTGTGGCTCTGGGGTGGGGGCCACTCCCCCTGCCTTCTCCTAAGCCTGATCAGCACCTCCCCCAATGGGAGATCAATTAGCCCCATCCTCTCAACTCCCAGTGGTCTTACTCTGCCGAGATGGGTCTCCTGGAAGAATCTTGGGCAGACTGAGTTGTGTGGCTCTAGGATAGGGGGCATTTTACCCTCACACATCCAACTAGTGCAGAGCCTTCCCTTCATACAGGCAAATCGTGGTCTGTTTGGGTCTGGTAAACTCTGCTGAACTCACTTTGAGGACTTTCTGCGGTACCCCCTCACAACAAAGGTGTGCAAACACCAAGCAGGTGGCAGTTAGACTTGGTAGATCCTAGGACATTTGCTGAGTGGTGTCAGACTCAGCAATGTTACCAAGTTCGAACCTGTATCAGTTTGGTGAACACCACTTGCCTCTACCTATTGACTCACTGAGAACTTACCTCATGCAAATCGAGTGCTGCCAGGGTCTCTTTCAGTGACTGAGCCTAATAGGCAGCCAGCAGATGGAGGCAGGCAGAGGTGGATCTCAGGATGCCTTGGGACTTTTGATGACCTGCTCCTGGACCCAGTGTTGTTAAACCCAGGCTTGATAAGCAGCTTGGTCCTTTGTGCATACACCCAGGTGCAGCAAAGGCAACCACAAACCAGACTTATGTGTAGCTTCTAACAGGTTGCCCAGGGCCAGTCACAGGCAATGTCTGACATTGGTCAGCACCAGAGTCCATCCCAGGAGACCCCAGGACCAACACACCAATAGTGGCTACACAACATCAGAGCAGTATCCAGTCAGCTTCACAAGCAGCATATCCAAAGGTAGGGACCAGACCCTGCTGACGCAAAGTCTGCTTCGTGTGGTCAGCACCCACACAGCAGTTTGTACATGTGGTCAGGGTTGATCCTCAGAGCTAGCATGAGGGTTTTTCCCAGGCACGAATGAGGCAGTAGCAATCAAGTGTCAATTAAAACAGGAAGGCCCACATAACTCCTACAAGGGACATCCCTGGAGCACCCAGCACAGGTGATCAAGGAGTCTCTGCCATAGGATCCCACAGGGCACCTACTACGTGAAGCGATCCTACCAAGATTGGGAGTCGTAGCAGATCTACCTAATAAATAGAAACAAACACAAAGAGGCAGCCAAAGTGGGGAGACAAAGAAACATTCCCCAAATTAAAGAACAGGAGAAATCTCCAGAAAAAAGAGCTAAGTAAAAATGGGGGCAAGCAATTTATCAGATACAGAGTTCAAGGAATTCGGTGAGAACTATGACAGCCCAGAAGAGGACATAGAAACCATAAAAGTTTCTAGTGTTTTCTTTAAGATCAAGGACAAGACTGGATGTCTGCTTTTACCACTTTTATTCAGCACAATACTGGGATATATAGCCAAAGTGATCAGACAAGAAGAGGCTAAAGGCGTCTGAATTGGAAAGGAAGAATCATAACTCTCATTATTTGAGGGAGGCAGGATACTGTATTTAGAGAACCCTGAAGATTCCATCACATACTTCTAGAACTGATAAATGAATTTATAGCAGGAGGATACATATCCAGAAATTAGTTGCATTTTTATATACCAATAATAAACTATCAGAAATGAAAACTAAGAAAACAATCTCATTTACAATTGCACCAAAAAAAAAACTAGTAATAAATTTAATAAATTTAACTGAAGATGTAAAAGACCTGTACTCAGAAACTTACGACACTGAAGTAAGTAATTGAAGAAGATACAAATAAGGAGAAGTGTATATCATGTTCATAGATAGGACAAATTAACATCATTAAAATGTTAATCCATGCTACCAAAAGTAATCTATAGATTCAGTGCAATTTCTATCAAGATAAAATGGAATATTTCATGGAACTAGAAAAAATAATCCAAAAACTTACATGGAATGACAAAAGACCCTGAAGAGCAACAGCAATGATGAGAAAGAAGAATAAAGTTGGAGGAATCATACTACATGATACAAAACTCAGCTGTAGGAATCAAAACAGCATGTTACTATTATGAAAACAAACATAGATCAATGGACAGAATAAAGAGCCCAGAAATGAACTTATTCCTTTATAGTCTATTAATATTTGAAAAAAAAAGCTACAAACATGTAATGGAATAAAGATAGTCTATTCAATAATTGGTGTTGGGAAAATTGGACAGATACATACAGAAAAATGAAACTAGATCACCTTCTTACACTATACACAAGAATAAACTCAAAATGGATTAAAGGCTTAAATGTTAGACTTGAAACCATAAAAATCCTAGATTTTTTTGGTTTTTTAATTGTACTGCTATAGGCAGTACAGTAATTGTACTGCCTATTACAATTGTAATTGTAATTAGTAATTGTATAGTAATTACATAGTAATTGTATAGTATTAGCAATTGTATAGTAATTGCATAGTATAGTAATTACATAGTAATTACATTAGTAATTGTATAGTAATTGTACTGCTATAGGCAGTAATTGTACTGCCTATAGCAGTACAATTAAGGACATTGTATGCATGTATATATTTATGTGTGTGTGTGTATATACATAATACATATATATATATTTGACATATTTCCTCAAGCAAGGGGAAAAAATAAACATGGCACTACATCAAACTAAGAAGGTTTTGCACAGCAAAGGAAACGAACAAAATGAAAAGACAGCCCAATGAATAGGAGAACATATTTGCCAATGATACATTTGGTAAGTGGTTAATATCCAAAATTTAAAAAGAATTTACACAACTCAACACCTGAAAAACAAACAATCCAATTAAAAAATGAGCAAAGGACATGAATACACACTTCTTCAAATAGGACATATGATGGCCAATAGATACATGAAACGATGCTCAACATCACTGATCATCCGAAAGATGCAAATTAAAACCACAATGAGGTATCACCTCACAGCTGTTAGAATGGTTATCATTAGTAAATCAACAACAAGTTCTGGCAAGGATGTGGAGAAAGGGGAACCCTCATGCACTATTGATGGGAATATAAATTGGTGCAGCTACTGTGAAAAGCAGTATGGAGATACCTCAAAAAATTAAAAATGGACTTGCCTTACGACCCAGTGATCCTACTTCTGGGAATATATTCAAAGGAACCTGAAACACTAATTGGTGTTGGGAAACACCAATATCAAAAGAATATATGCACCCCTATGTTTATTACACCACTATTTATAATTGCTAAGATTTGGAATAGCCCAAGTACCCATCCATAGATGGGTGGATGAAAGAGCTGTGGTAAATTTACAGCTTAGAATACCACATGGCCATAAAAAAGAAAGAAATCTCACCTTTTGGAACAGCATGGATGCACCTGGAGAGTATTATACCAAGTGAAGTAAGCCAGTCAAAGAAAGACAAGTACCATATGATTTCACTCATAATTTGGAATCTAATGAATAAAATAACAAACTACTGAAACAGACTCATAGATACAGAGAACAGACTGACAGCTATCAGAGAGGAGGGAGTGAAGTGCTTGTTGAGAAAGAAGAGATTAAGAAAAAACCTGATAGACACAGACAACAGTATGGTGATTACCAGACAGAAAGGTAGTGGGCGGAGGTAGAAGAGGATAAAGGGAGGATAAATGGTGACAGAAGGAGACTTGACTTGGGGTGGAGAATTCAGGTATATTATCAAATTATACACCTGAAAGCTATATAAATTCATTAACCAATATCACCCCAATAAACTCAATATATATTTAAAAAAAGAAAAAAAAGGTGTGGGATGTTAGTCATGTCAGTTCACCAGAATGTGAAGGCAAATACATAGACTTAAATGCTATTGATCCGAATTGAAAGATTAAGAAAAAAATTAAAGGAAAAATTCTACAAAATTAGCCATTGAAAACTACAGATAAAAGAGGAAACAAAATTTCATGCCAGTCTTATACAAAAACATAGATGCAAAATGACTGAGCTGATTAAATTCTAACAGTTTATTAAAAAGACAAAACTAACTTTGATTTATCCTAGGTTGGGTTTACTTTAAAAATAGAGAAGTGTAACTTAACTCATAAGAAAAACCATGATCATCTTACGTATAGAAAAAGCTTTTGATTAAATAACTCTTCGTGATTTAAGCAGGACAAGTACCTCAAGTTATAATTATGAAGAAACACCAGCTTATATTTGCACAAAATCTGCCAATGCCTGTCAATTGGTGAAGATGTGAATTAATGAGAATTCTTAACACATTGCTGATGGCAGTGTAAATTGGTTTTATTTTTTTATTTATTTTTTTATTTGTTGTTCAAGTACAGTTTTCTGCTATTGTTTTGAAGACTTTGGAAAATAATGTGGCATAGACTGACAAACTACTTGTTGCTACGTAGAAGAAAAAACATCACATTTTTTTTTGTAATAGCAAAAACAAAGAGCACCAGACCATCCAAAACACCTTTGAAGGAGGATGGGCAAATAAATTTTGGATTTATTATGTGATAAAGTATAACTCAATGGTAAAACTTAACATCAGCTATATGCAACAGCATGGATGAATCTTGAGTATTGAACAGAAGGGAGCAAATCACACAAGAGTATATATGATCTCATTTTAAAGTAAACAGGAAAAGCAAATTAATGAACACATTGTTTAGAGGCATAAACACTGAAATAAAACTGCTGAAAGCATGCAAGGGAGTGGCGAACCTAAAATTCAGGTTAGTGGTACGTCAGAGAAGGAAGGCAAGTGGTGAAAACAAAGGACTACATGGGTAACTTAAACGATACCAGGAATGTTCCAGTTACAATACGGAGCGTGCATTTGAGTGCTCATTTTATTTATATGCCCCCTATATTTTTGTGTGAATCAAATATTACATTGTAAAACAAATAATTGATTAAATGTTCTCAATGAATAATGATAATCTTTCTGGATACTCTGTTCTTATGTACGTAGTTTTACAGAGAGTTTTGGTAGTGTTGGATCAGGATGAATATAATACAGCTGTTTCTCCAGAGAGTTTGATATCATAGGTTGATGTCATTAATTTGAAGCTTTTTCATTTCTAGGATGAGTCTGAATTTAGAGACAAACTCACTCCAATCACTATTTTTATGGAGTATCGGTTGGATTACAGAACAGCTGCTGACACAACAGGCTTGCAGCCCGTCCTTAACCAGTTCACTCCTGCCAACGTCAGCCGGCAGGTACAATTCATCACTACTTTCACACTTTAATTTTTGTTGTGGTGTTGCAATTCATATTTTAAAATATCACAAGGGATTGCTTTTATAATGTTGGGATTTCAGTCAAAGAAGTTGGTGGGGAAGAAATCTGGACTTTCAGGTTAGGGATATTTAAAGCCACTTCGATGTTAGTGATGTGGAAAGATGGGGTCACATAAAACAGTCAAATAATTCTAGGAAAACAACAAAATGCCAGTTTATTTATATTGTATTTTAGTATTTTTTTATTTTGCTAAACAAGTTTTATATCTGTCTTATTTTCAATTTACATTTTAATAAAAAATATATATGTATAGTACATAAGTTATTTTAATAAAACCAAATATATAAAATTTCGTAAAAACTGTATTATAATATTTTAGAAAATTTTATGTAAAAATATGTATTCAAATATTGCGATTGTATTTCCTATTTCTTTCTCTTATTACACATTCACATTTTTAGATTGACATTTTTCTCTTATACAATGTTTTACGCCAAATTTTGATTGTTATTTCTTTGTCTAACACTCTTCTTTGTGTGTAATTTGGGAAAACGATGTTTGGTAGATGTATAAGGCAAATTAAAACACATTTTAAAGTCTTTTGTGATTTGTATATTTTAACGATATATTTTATATTTTATTTTGCAAATAATCAATATATGTGCCATTTTCTATTACTCATTTATATAAAACTTTTAAACATAGTCATGTGTGAGATTATATTCTTTATATTTTTTATTTTTAGTGGATCAACAATATTAATAATTTAATGAATATCTGAGCCCTTTAGAGTCTAGCATTCAGTTTTATACATTTTTAAAAGTTAATTGTCTCATACTTTTACATTATGTGTTTTGATTTGGGGTCAAATTATTTTCTACTTAGAGTTTTAGAATTTTTGAAAATCATTTATCAGTGTTAACATTACATTGATCAGCCTACTGAGATCAACAGTCTCTAATACCAATACAGTTTTGAAGCCTGGCAATCGAGTACATAAGCTAACTTTTGAAATCCTCTGAGAGAAATACTAACTTTAATAATATTTGGCTTCTTTTTTTTTCCTCCTCTTGCTCTGATTCTTTATTATTTGAATGTTTTTTTCTTTGTGTCCTTCATTTATTTTAACAGTAACTTTATTCATCTTTAAGCATTTTTCTTCTGCATTTGGATCTTTATTATTTACTCTCATTTCTATGTTAATTACCCATCCACCATTCTTAATATTTACTTCTTTTTAAAACGGGTCCTTTATTTCTCCGGTCACATTACAAACTTGTTTACTGTGCTCTCTATAGAGTCCTGCTGACCAATAGAAGGATAACATGAGCACATTTGTAATTTTAGATTGACTGGGCAGCAACATTTTTTATAAGGTAGAAAACTGGCAAAATTAACATTAATGATGTATCTGTATTAGTTTGCTAGGACGGTCCTAAAAAATGACTACAGAATGGGTGGGTTAAACAAGAGAAATTAATTTTCTTACAGTTCTGGAAGCGTGAAGTCCAAGATCAAAGCGTTGGCAGGGTTGGTTCCTTCCAAGCCTCTCTCCATGGCTTGCAGATGGCCACCTTGTCCCCGTGTCTTACACGGTGGTTTCCCCGTGTGGTTGTCTGTGTCCCAGTCTCCTCATAAAGCTCCAGTCATATTAGGCCCCACCCCAATGATGTGATTTAACTTAATTACCTTGTTAAAGACCATATCTCCAAATGTAAGTCACATCCTGGACTTCAACATATGAAGTTTGAGGGAATACAAAACACTCCATGACACTATCCAAAATATTATCATTTGAATATGTAATCAAATTAACAATTATCAGTGAAATATTTAACATTCTTTATACAGCTTTTTTACTATCTTCAAAGTCCAGAATGTATTACATGCTTATAGCACACCTAAATTCAGATGCTAAATCTTCAGCACAAACATTTTTTCTGTATTTTGAATTCATATAATTTGCAGTTGAAAAAGTAGGTTCACATACCCAAGTTGTTCTAAAGATACTAAAAGATTTTTAGCAACAGAATCAAGTGTCAGTTTTTAATTTAAATTTAAATCAATGCAAATTAAATAAAGTTTAAAAATTAATTTCTTAGTCACACTGGGCACATTTCAAGTGCTCAAAAGCCACGTGTGACTCACTAGTGGCTACTGTACTGGACAGGGTAGCTCTGGAGTTTCATTTTCTGCATCCTAATATTTTGGAGTTAGAGGTTTAGTGCTTTCTGCAGAGAGATTAGCTTTTTTCTCTCATTCTTCATGTATTTTTTAAAAGATTTTATTTATTTATTTCCAGAGAGGGGAAGGAGGGAGAAAGAGAGGGAGAGAAACATCAGTGTGTGGTTGCCTCTTGCATGCCCCCAACTGGGGACCTGGCCCACAACCCAGGCATGTGCCCTGACTGGGACTCGACCCAGCATCCCTTCGTTTTGTAGGCTGGCACCCAACCCATTGAGCCACATCAGCCAGGGCCCTTCATGTATTTATTCAAATAATGTATTAAGGTCTTACTCTCTGTTAAGTATATGACTAGAGATGTAATTCTCTGTAAATGGAAGACATTGCCCTATGCTTTTCCATTTCTGAAACTATCTTCCTTGATAGCATATTTTAATACTTTAGCTGCACCAATGTCAGCCAAGTCCTTTTTCTTCAGTGTAGAGTGATAGCCAAATATTCTTGTACCAGAATTTATTAATATTTTATATGTATTTCTTATTCCAAACTTCAGATGCTCATAATTCTGAGGTTCTTAATAGTTCATTTATAATCTGCAAAATCCACACTTTATTTTTGAACTAAATTTAGCAGTAATTGTATTTGGTATGACTTATGGAATCACCACAAAGTTCTTCTAATGGTTCTGCCCCTTACCCCTCTTCTTGGAGTGCACAGAAACTGCTTACATTTAGGTTCTTGAATTAGCTTACATATATGAGGTCTGTATGGAAAAAGTCCAGCCATTGTTAATATAACTAAAATGGTTTGCGCTACATCAATGTACCCTGGCAGCCCAGGAGAATGTACTGGAGTGTGCATGAGTGAACAGTCACAACTGTACTGTTCTAGTCAGTGGGGGTGGTAGACGCCATTGAGTGAGCATGTGTGCTCTCTGGCCATCACATTCAAAATGACTGAACGAGTTGAGCAGTGCATCTCCATCAGATTTTGTGTTAAGCCTGAACATTCCTCCGTGGAAACGATTCGGATGATTCAGAAGGCCACAGCTATGGTCATCTGGTGATTGGCAGTTTATGCATCACATCTTTTACAGAGTTTTTGGTGAAACATCAAATCACCGAGGTGACTCAGCCCCCTTACAACGCAGATTTGGTGTCCTGTGACTTCTAGCTTTTCCCAAAACTAAAATCACTTTTGAGAGGGAAGAGATTTTAGACCATTGATGAGATTATAGAAAATACGACGGGGCAGCAGATGGTGATTGGGAGAACTGTGTGAAGTCCCGAGGTGCCTACTTTGAAGGGCGCTGAGGCATCACTCTCCTATGTACAGTGTTTCTTGTATCTTGTATCTTCTTCAATAAATGTCTTTCTTTTGCATGTTACATGGGCTGGATACCTTCTGGACAGACCTTGTATTACTGGGTTACATCCCCAATTAAGTTAACATTTACTGTCTCTCATATAATTTTATTCCGGGTAGCTGTATATTCCTTGTTAGTAACTTGGAAGCATATAGTCATTTTTTTTTTTCTCTTTCAAGGAAGCCTTTCATTATTTTTCCTTTTTAAATCTTTTTCTCTCTTTTTGTCTGCGTTTGGACCTGAAGCCCTGTGGATGTTAACAGTAGACAAACCAAAAATGACTTCATTTTTTTCTCTTAATTTTTATATTCTTTCAAATCCCCCTTAACCTCTTCTGCTTCCTCCCACTATTCCTCTCTTTTGGGTTTTCCCCATTGCTCAGCTGGCACACTCTCATGACCAGATTGAGAGGAGAAATTCTGGTTTTTGCTTACTGTACCTCTTCTGGACAGGCTAACTTGAGGGAGTCTAGATCTTTTTCCTTCATCTCTTTCTGTGTGGCCATGCATATGCTGGATTCATTTTGCCCGGTTTCTGTTCCCTTTCGTTTACGTGTCTGAATTGCTGTAATATCCACAACTCCTTTTTCTGTTAAACTCTGTAGCCACATTTCCACAATGTTGGCAGAGGCGTAGTCTGTGATGAGAAGCTCTTAAGGGAGTTTGTGTTCCCTGGGATCACACAACTTAGCTAGCAGCATCCAAACCCTCATTTCTTGACTGTTACTTTCTCTTCTACATGACACTTCATTCCAAAGTCATAATAGCTTACTTTGAGATAGAACTGAAAGGTTCCAGCTAATTCTGTTCTGTCCTAGGAATTGTTTTCTTCCTTATCATCCATGACTATTTACTGACCTGTTTAAGTGGGCAGGATTCCTTTTCCCCTTAGGTATGCAAATAAGTTGATGAATTTATACAAATATATGCTTGTGTGCATGTGTATATTCATTCACATGCCTTGCATCTATTTTGATACATGTAGCATGTGTGACATGTATTGGTGTTTTTTTCATGTAGGAAAAATAAATTGCTTTTCTTTCCTAGGCTCATATTCTCCTTGATTGTGGTGAAGACAACATCTGTAAACCCAAACTGGAAGTTTCTGTAGACAGGTAAGTTTTGCTCCAAAATAATAAGCAGTATAATAAGAAATTTAAATGGGAGAGCTTGTTTTTGTACTCAAAGTAATAGTATATCTTAAGGAGAATTAGTTATGTTAGAGTATAATACATGATTTTTTATAATAGTAAAACTATCAATATTGGAGCTTTAAAAAATATATACTATGTTTTCATTAATTGCATAGGTTGACAGACCTATTCCCATTCTTCACTGAGTAGTGTTAACAAAGTAACATATCTTCTTAAAGATACATTTCATTATTGATATACTCCTAACTAAAGGAATCTGATTACCATTTATATAGTGTATAAATAATAATGAATTTTGTGGGAATCATGACAAATAATTAATTCAGAAGATTTAATCTGAAGTCAGATTAAATTTTTTGGAAGAAGTCAAAGAATAATTATATACCAAGAAATATAAAATTGCTTTAGTAATAGATATGAATGATAGTGATGTACTAGCGGCATCCACATTTTCTGTCACTTAGAGAAGCATTGCATTTGCACCCAGTGTGCTATTCCCAGTTTTCTGTTGAGCTGTGAAGTAGTCTTGAAATATCTGGAGACACTGTTGATGTCAGCGTTGTCTGTGTATTTATATCGTTTCTTTGAACAATCATGCTATCTCCCTGCAGTCCTTTTCTCATTGACTGGATTTGCATTCACTTGTAGAGATCAAAAGAAGATCTATGTTGGGGACGACAACCCTCTGACATTGATTGTTAAGGCTCAGAACCAAGGAGAAGGTGCCTATGAAGCTGAGCTCATTGTCTCCATCCCACCTCAGGCTGATTTCATCGGGGTTGTCCGCAACAGTGAAGTAAGCAAGCTGCCTCTTTAAAAATCGAAACACACTCATAGGTCTCATTAATATTAATAGACTCCTCCCCTATTTAGAGCAAGCTTAGCCATTCTATCTAAGGCTGAATTGCTAGACAGTAGAGTGCCTCTCTTACATAAGTCCTTTCAAGCCTAATACTTTGGATAATGCATTGATAATGACGTTTTTAAAATTGCTAGCTAAGTGCCCGAAACAAGGTCAGACAGATAAAGTGTCTAAGCCTGTCCATCAAATTATTTGTCAGAGGTAATATGGTTATGTATCTGAATCCTCAAGGGATCTTTCAGAAATACTTTTGCATTTATATGTGGCAATTGTACAGAATTCTGGCTTCCACCTTACCTCACCCCGCCATTTACTCAAATAGATGTATTTGCTTTGTAAATCAAGAAACTTAAATATCCAACTGCATGACATTGTCTAGGAACCTTTTAGTCTTATGGCTTCTGCTTTTTTTATTTTTTGGTAATTAATTAATTTTCCTTTTAATCTATTTTTGTCTGTTAAAGGCCTTAGCAAGACTTTCCTGTGCATTTAAGACAGAAAACCACACCCGCCAGGTGGTATGTGATCTTGGAAACCCAATGAAGGCTGGAACTCAAGTAAGACATTTTATTTTATTTTATTTTATTCATTTTTATTAAGATTTTATTTATCCATTTTTAGGGAGGGAGAAAGAGAGGGAGAGAAACATTGATGTGAGAGAAATATTGACCAGTTACCTCTCACACATCCCCACTGGGGACCTGGTCTGCAACCCAGGTGTGTGCCCCGACTGGGAATCAAACCAGCAACCTTTTGGTTTGCAGGCTTATGCTCAATCCACTGAGCCACACCAGCGGGGGCGAAGTAAGATATTTTAATTAAATGGAAAGAAAGTAGCACATTTTTCTGTGGGTTTGTTCATCTAATTTTTTAAATAAACACTTTAAAATAGTAACTTTAAATTGGTTTTAATTTAGAATGCAGTGATTAGGAGTGTTTTGTGTAGTTTAGACTAAAACGCTAAAATAATGGGTTGTGCTATTACACTGTATTCAATAAACTGGTCTGCACACTCCCCTCATTTTGGTAAATGGATGAAAACGTGGTTTAAGGACTAAAGTGGTAACTTTGCTATTTTAAACGAATGCCTTAATGAATATTCAAAGCTACTTGGACAAATGCCAAGACTGTCATTCTTAGGTGAAATAGACTTTCTCATTAATTTGAAACCTTCATGGTTGTCCTGGACAGGATCAAGATGCATGCAGCTCGTGGTCAATCAGGCTTCCCTTCAGAGCCGGAGGAAGTTAGCCCAGGAGCTTGAGAGAAGCACTCCACGGGTCCCTTCCCCAATCCTCCAAACAGTCAACAAAATACAGGGTGGGGCAAAAGTAGGTTTACACTTATTTGTATGGAAAATACAATAATAAATAATAATACAAGGTTAAACTCAGTGTTTTGCATACTCACAACTATAAACCTACTTTTGCCCTACTCTGTATTCATCACAGAATTCTCAGTATCAAGGAAAAATGGCAGTATATTTTGTTACTTTTTTCAGTCAACCTAGATATTGGTAATTTGAAGATCTGTGATAATATGGGGCTAAATATTCCATATTTACTCTTAAACACCATTCCTCTTAGTAAATGTAGTGAAAGGATCCAAACTTGCAACTAGTAGCAAGTCCTAGAGATCTCATCATGGTACTGTGAATATAGATAATAATACTGTATTACCATCATCAAACTCGCAGAGAGACTAGATCTTAGTTATGCCAACACAAAAAAGAAGTGATAATTGTGTGCCATGATTAGAGGTGCTATCACTGCAAAAGCCATCATATTACAGTTTGTAAATGTATCAAATCATGCTCTACACCTTAAAGTTACACAGTGTTACATATCAAATACATTTCAAATCCAAATAAAATACTCCATATTTCTGTAAGCATATTTTCCATTAAAAGTCATTACTTCTAGATGTATTAGCTCTTAGGTCATGGGACTTGAGCAGAGTACCTAGAATTGCATTTTTCCACATATACTTAACACAATATTTCATTAACGAGTTGAACATACTTTTTATTTTTCATATTCTCATTCTCTCCAGCTTCTCCACTCATAGCGCATTCATTATGGATGATTCCAGTTTATTTCAAGTGGCCAGCTCCAGGCTTTGTAAAGCGGGAGGCAGTTCGAAGTCCTCCTTTTCATGTGTTATTTATATGATCCCAAAAGCCTGCTTTCCCTTATCTTGTAACTCAGTTGTTCTCTCTAAAATATTTCCACCTGCAGAAGTTAGGATGCTTGGTGTTGATGGGGTTGTGAGCGGTGGGGAGAAATCCTGGTTTTGGTCCTATGTATGCCTTTTTTAGTCATGTTCTCCCACTCTTATGCACCAGCCGTGTCTTCCTCCCCGCTCCGGTAACACAAGTTCAGTTGTCGGCTTCCTGTAACCAAGTCATTGTGTGCAGTTGTTTACTGAATCTACAAGCACTTACTTTTGCATTTTTTGGAAAGATAATGAATATTATATAGAGATATAATTAATATCTGCTGTCAAATAGACTCCATTATGGGTATCTTAAGAGAGATTTGATAGAAAGATCCCATTCAATTATCTTTGTTAGAATATTTTAAGTTTATTGTAAGCTCAGAAGAACCCTGTTTAGGACATTCTTTTTTTATTTGGACATTGGATTAGAAATGTCACGAATTAGACACTGTTTTAACCAACATGACCGTCTTTTCTTCTTCCTTCAGCTCTTAGCGGGCCTCCGCTTCAGTGTGCACCAGCAGTCGGAGATGGACACCTCTGTGAAGTTCGATTTACAAATCCAGAGGTATAAACACAGCTTTTTTCATTTATAATAACTTAAAATATTTGCCCTAAGTAGGTCATGCAATATATTTTAAAATGGAATAGAATTGACTAAGATTTCAGTACTTGATATACCATTTTTAAATCATTGTTTATGTCATAAGAATAATTTTGTCAGCTTTGAGTTTATGAAACAAAATTTAAAGTTAAGTAAAACTTGACCATCTTCTTGGAATTAAATGGAAATATTGCTAATGGAAATATTTATTTTATTTTTTTTATTTCTTTGTTGCTTTTGTTTTTTTAGCATCACTACATTTGCCTCTGTATTAATTTTGATGATTGTGTTCAATTCATTCCTAAATATATATTTTTTTTCTTTTTCAGCTCCAATCTTTTTGACAAAGTAAGCCCAATTGTATCTTATAGAGTTGACCTTGCTGTTTTAGCTGCTGTTGAGATAAGAGGGTCAGTATGATTATCCAGGGGATTATCTCCTTCTCATGATTTAAATAAACTACTTTAAAAAGTAGTTACTTTTTAAAAGTAACTCCTGGGCCTCCTAGCTACTTTTGGATAGTGGGCACTCCATGTTTAATGTGCTGGTTTTAGTAGAGCAGTAGATTCTGTAGAAAGAATGTTCTAAGTGTATGTTCTAAGCCCCAAGCATTTATTTGGTTATCCTTTGGAAATAAACCATACATGGCAACAGTAGGTGAAAAATAAGTGTATTGCACTTTTATGTAAATTGACATCAATCAATAGTGACAATCACCTATTACAATAGATTATCAATAAATGGTGTTTGTGCATACACATGTGTAGGTTTTTTCTTTTAACTATGTGGTGGTTTTTTAAATTAGTTCAGCTTTTATTCATTTGGATACGGGGTACTCTAGGAAATGAACTGACTGTATGTACCTACCGTTTTGATATTCATGGTAGGTTTTCTTTGGTCATTGTTTAGAGTCTCAAGTCCTGATCACATCTTTCTTCCGATACCAAATTGGGAGCATAAGGAGAACCCCGAGACTGAAGAAGACGTTGGGCCCGTTATTCAGCACATCTATGAGGTTTGCGGTTCTTGGGTTTAACGGCTACCTGGTGGGAAGCCAATAAGGAGAGGAGCAGATAGGCTGCTTTTAAAAGACAAGTCTATTTAATTTTTACGTAAACTGTGCACAGTTTATGTACCAGAGAGATCTTTGAATTTTTCCCCTATTATATGCAAGTTCCTTTTTATTAGACAAGTAACTTCAAGAGGTTAAAGAAAACAGTTCATACAAATTGTTGTTTAAAATCAACTAGTTCTACTTGAATAAAAGCAATAGGTCATTGCTCATCTTCACATGGACATTTAGCCGTTCTGACTAAAAACTGAAAACACTTATAGCAGATCATCAGAGTTTTGTTTCCGTGGGAAGAAAACTTTCTATGCCGTCTTTCACCAATAACTTTTCATATCTTCTTCTTTCATTTATACTTTCACCTTAACACAGACTGCCCTGTGCTTGAGGCACATACTGAGTTTGATCTCTTTTGCCTGGTAACAGTCATGCTGTCGTGTTACAGTGACTATGGAAACTCTGCTGTTTCAAATACTGTTGCTAATGATCCCTGAAGTTGATCCAGGGGAAGGATTATAACATCGATTTTTGCCCAAAGGATTCACATTTGCTTTTTCTCATTAGCTGAGAAACAACGGTCCAAGTTCATTCAGCAAGGCAATGCTAAATCTTGAGTGGCCTTACAAATACAACAATAGCACCTTGTTGTACATCCTCCAGTACGATATTGATGGGCCGATGAACTGCACTTCAGATGTGGAGATCAACCCTTTGAGAATTAAGGTAATGGCATAATGGCAGCTCTTCATTATGATATTTTTCCCCCTAAATTGACAAAAGAAATGCATGAAACAAAACAAGTATTTTAATCCATAAACCCATTCTGCAAAATATTTTAGTTTGTGACTGGTACACTGAGGATTAAATGGTTTATTTCTGTAATGAGTAAGGATTGATTCTATGAAGTCATGGTGAACCATATATTTCTGTGGTGTTCAGTGGAATTCTGTGTACTTCAGGATATATAGTCATCTCCATCCTAGCACATACCTTACACAGATTGGACTACAGAAAGTTAAGTAAACAAAACAAAAAATACATACTCATGATTGACGTTTCTCACAGATGTATCCTATGAAATTTCAGGTTCTTTCAGTATGTTTTATCAGTGTCTCCCCTAGACTGGGCAAGGGGAGAAAAATCATGGGTAGGCATAGGTAACTTTTTTTTTTCCATATTCAGGGCTCGTATTTATTTTGTCTGCTTTTCACCATATATATTAAGTAGTGGGTTTTCTGTTTATGTCAGATTTTCAGTCACTGTGTTTTAATTACTTATAACAGTTTATGGGAAAATGTCAATGTAAAATGTTTGCTGTTATTATTTACCACTAGTTTATTAATGTAATCCTAGGTTTCAAGTTCACAAACAACGGAGAAGAATGACACCCTTGCTGGGCAAGGTGGCCGGAACCATCTCGTCACTAAGCGGGATCTCACCCAGGGTGAAGGAGGTGTTCACGCTTTGGTAAGTGTCATTTCGACAACAAGCGCTTTAAACATTTAAAAATATGTGATGATAGAACTGATGCCAAAGTACATTTCAAAAATAACAACAGCTGTGCTTGAAAGGACTACGTATATTTTTATACCATTCAGTTCTCTTAACTTTTCTTGTTCCTAGTCAAATTAATGCCAGATTTTCTTCAAATTATCTATCTTGGTAAATCAGTAACAAACATATTTTATGGTCCAACTTTTTGTTCTGACTGCAGTCCTTCAACTGGCCTCTCTCCTGGTCTCACCTTAATCTTTGAGACTTCAGTGCAGTACTGCAGGAAAATCCTGGAGACCTCAACAAAAATACATTATAAGAATAATTCGCATTATGATTAACTTTTTTCATTTTATTATTTTTTTTCTTATTGTTGACGCTGTTATAGATGTCCCCCAGTTCCTCCCCCTCCTTTGCTCACTGGCACCGGGCCCTGCCTCCCCGTCCCTCTGGCTGCCATCCCACTGTTGTCTGTGTGTGTGTGCCCTGCATCTCTGTTCTTTGGCTGATCTCCTGACTTCCCACATCCGGTCCTTTCCACCTCACACCCCTTTGAGGTCTGCTGTCTCTTCCATGTATCCATGCCTCTGGTTCCATTTTGTTCACTTTATTTTGTTCATTAGTTTCCACATTAAATGAGACTATATGGTATTTGTCTTTCTCTGACTGGTTTCTTTCACTTAGCATGATGCTCTCCAGGTCCACCCATGCTGTTGCAAAGGGTAAGAGTTCCTGTTTTTTAATAGCCACGTACTATTCCATTGTGTAAATGTACCACAGCTTTTCTATCCACTCATCTACTCACGGACACTTGGGCTATTTCCAGATCTCGGCTATTGTAAATAATGCTGCAATGAACATATAGGTGCATATATGCTTTCTGACTGGTGTTTTGGGATTCTTAGGATTTTGTCTATTTCAATCATTTGTTGCTGGTGTATATGTGCACATATGTATATGATTAACTTCTATTGAGTTAGCCTATATAATGATAATAGTGTTATAAGGTAGCTTACCAGTTAAGTTTTTGAAACTTAATAGTTCTGCAAACCCTCTGCTAGCAGAGAATCTGGTAGAGTGTTTATCTTCATTAGCAGTCACCAGTTACTTTCACATTAGCAAATTCCATGGTCCTTCTTAGTTCTTTGCTGATGATCACCTGCTTGGCAATTTTGCACAATAAATCACCTCTTCCTTTAGGAAGCACTCCTCATTCATTTCTAGAACACCACTCTCTTCTGGTTCTCTGCCTACCACAACTGGTTACTTCCTAATCTCCATTTCCAGGCCTTTAGAGTATTCCCGGGCTTACATTGCTTATCTGCACTACCTACATTTATTCATTAGATCTGTGCTGTCCAGCGTTATAGATGCCAGCCACATTTCAGGGGTTCAGTAGCCACATGTGGCCAGTGGCCACTATTTTGGAAATGCAGGTATCTCTGTGCTGATGATCTTGTCATTGTTGAAGGTTCTGTCACACATTGCTGCACTCGATGATCTCACGCACTCTTGCTGTAAATACCGCCTCTGTGTGCATGACTTTGATTTATATTTTCAGCCTGATCCTCTGTATTGAACACCAGACTCCATTTTTCAACCTCCTACTGGAATTCCTCTTAATAGGAATCTTAAACTTAATTCTAAGAACATAACCTTGACTTTTTCCAACTCTGCTCTTTCTGTAGTGTTCCACATTTTAGTGATACCAAGTTCATTCTCTGTCTAAAACCTGGGCATCATGCTTGACTCCTGTCTTTCTCTTAAACCTCACATCCTGTATATCAGCAAATTCTGTCAATATATACTTTAAAAATATCCAGAATCTGGCCCCTTTTACCAGTTCTGCCACAGCCACAACCTAACAGGTCACCATCCTCTCACTCAGACTATTGCCCAACCTCTAGTTGGAGTCCATATTTTGCCCTCTTCCCCACTGCAGTTTATTTGCCACACAGAAGCCACAGCAATCCACAGAAGCTATAGGTCACATCAGGGCCTATCTCAGAACATCAGAACCTGCAAAGCCTTTAAGCCCTAGATGATAGAGACTCTTGTGCCCTAGGCCTGTCTTTCCTCTTCTTACTCTGCTCCTCCCATTTTGATATCTTGTCTTTCCTTGGACAGACAGCCCCCAAGCATGTTTCTACCACCAGGATTCAAAATTTTTTCTCCTATTTGCTTGGACTGCTCTTCGCCCAGATACCCCCGTGGCTCACTTGTCCATCTCCTTCTGCTGTCTGTAACTGACAGAGCACAGCAGGCCATTCCTGACCAACCCATGGGAAATAGAAATTACTTTCTACCCCCACCTCCCTTTGGACCCTGTACTCATTATCCTCCTACAGAATTACACCTTTGAAAAAAATTGAGATAAAACTTACATAACATAAAAGTCACCATTTTTCAAAAGTGCACAATTTAGTGATTTTTGGTGTATTCACATTATGCAACCACCATCATTATCGAATTCTGGAACATTTCATCACTTCAAAAAGAAATGTTGTACCTGTTAAACTACCCATTTTCCCCTCCCTCCAGCCCATGGCAACTACTAATCTGCTCTCTGTCTCTAAGGATAGGTCTATTCTGGACATTCTGTGTAAATAAAATCATGTAGCACGTGTCCCTTTGTGTTTGGCTTCTTTGGTTTAGCGTGATGTTTTTGAGGTTCACTGTGTTGTAGAATGTATTATTACTTTAGTCGTTTTTAATAGTTCATTTTTTATTGTATTTTTTCCATCACCATTGATGCCCCCATACCCTGTACCATCTCCACCCACCCCCTTGCCCCCCACAATAATCACACTGTTGTCGGTGTCAGTGAGTTGTTTTTCTTTTTTCTCAAACCCTCCAAATCCCATCCTTACCCAGAGCTGTCAGCCTTGATCTCTGTGAGTCTGTCTCTATTTTGCTTGTTAGATCAGTTTGTTCATTAGATTCCACATGTAAGTGAAATCATGTTATCTGTCTTTCTCTGACTGGCTTATTTCACAGAGCATAATGTTTAAGCATAAGCGTAGGAGCTCCTCCTTTCTTTCTGCTGCATAGTGTTCCATTGTGTAAATGTACCATAGTTATTTTATCCACTCTTCTACTGATGGGAACTTGAGTACTTCCAAGTCATGACAATTGTAAATAACATGGCAGTAAACACAGGGGTGCATATAATTTTTTGAATTAGTGTATCAGGTTTCTTCAGGTACAGTCCCAGAAGTAGAGTCTCTGGGTCATAAAGCATTTCATTCCCAACTGGCAATGTATAGCAGTTCCAGTATCTCCCCATCCTTACTATCACTTGCTGTTGGCATTTAAAAACATATTATTTTACAGTCAAGCTCATTAGTGTGAACTAGTATCTCATTGTTTTATTTGTATTCCCTAGGGACTAATGATATTCAGCATCTTTCCATTTGTATATCTTCTTTTGAGAGATGTCTATTTAAATCTTTGGTTCATTTTAAAATGGACTTGTTTGCCTTTTACTGTTGAGTTGTAACACTTTATAGAATCTGGGTACTCCTCCCTCAGAGCTATGATTGCACATATTTTCTCTCATTCTATGGGGTTGTCTTTTCACTTTCTTGATGCAAATTTTTTATCCTTTGATGCAGATTTTTTTAATTTGAAGAAGTCCATATTTCTTTTCTCAAGCTTATTTCTTTCTTTGTTGCTGGTACGTTTGCTATCATATTTAAGAAACCATTGCTGAACCCAAGGTCCTGAAGATTTACACCTACGTTTTCTAAGTCTTATACTTTTAGCTCCTATGTTGACATCTCTCTCTCCCTTAAATGGTCTTGGCAGCCTGTTGAAAATGAATTGGCCATAAACGTATGGATTTATTTCTGGGCTCTCAGCTCTGTTTTACTGATCTACACATGTATCCTTATGCCAGTGCCAAATGGTTTGAATATTGTAGCTCTTCAGTAAGTTTTGAAATTGCGGAGTGTGTGTCCTCCACATTTTCTTCTTTGTCAAGGTTGCTTTGGTTATTCGGAGTCCCTTATAAATTTACATTCATATATACATTCATTTGAATTTTTGGATCAGCTTGTCCATTTCTACAAAAAAGGTAGTTGGATTTTTGACAAAGATTTTATTAGATCTGCCAATTTAGGAATATTGTCATCTTAGCTCTTTTAGATCTTGAACACACGATATCTTCATGTTAATTTATGTCTCCTTTAATTTCTTTCAAAAATATTTTGTGATGTTCAGTGTACAGGTCTTGTGCTTCCTTGGTTAAATTACTTTACATATTTTATTATTTTTATGCTATTTTAAATAGATTTCTTAATTTCAGTTTAATTAAATTGTTTAATTTCATTTTCAGATTTTGTAGTGCTATAGAAATTCATGTGTATATTAATCTTGTATTCTGTACATTTTCTGTATTTGTTTATTAGCTCTAATAGTTTGATTGTGGATTCTATAGTGTTTTACATAAATAAGATCCTGTCACCTATGGATAGAGATAGCTTCATTTTTTTTTTTTTCCCTTTCCAATCTGGATGCCTTTTACTTAATTTTTTTCTTGCCTCATAGCACTGGTAGAGCCTTTTGAACAATGCTGAATAAAAGTGTCAGTGGGCATCTTTGTCTTGTTCCTCGTCTTAAGGGGAAAGTATCCATTCTTTCACTATTAAGTGTAATGTTAGCTGTAGACTTTTCATAGGTGCCCTTTATCAGCTCAAGAAAGCTTGCCTCTGTATTCCTGGTCACAAACTGGAGGTGCCACTTACTAGATGCCATTGTTGGGAGCTGCATGCATGTGACACGTCTAATGCGGTTTAGCCAGCACATAGATGTGAATATTAGTTAACCTTGGCTGCCGGCCTTCAAGTTACTGCTAAAAAGACTGAATGTAGCAAAGACCATCAGCATGCCACTTGATTTTTACATGAAATAACTGTTAAAGATTCACTGTTTTTCTTTTTAACAGGGATATCATGGTCTAATTTTTATGTCTTACTAAAGTCACCATGTTCTGAGTTTGCCCAAAATGTTGAGAATCTAACCATAGATTCTCAGAAGAATGTTGAGCTCTAGCCATAAAAATACATCATTTAATATTATCGATCTTACCCTTCTATAACAAATTACATTAAAACCAACTTATTTTTAACAAAAATCATTCACTGACTTTAATATAAGCCTCTTCATTTTAAATATTATTCCTACAAGGCAAAAGAATCTGGGTCATTGCTTTGGCCTTCACATGAAATGAGTAAAATGTCCAATTTTCAAATGTTGAAGAGATGACAGAATGACCTTTTCTTGTCAGTAAATATCGTGTTTGGGCAGGGTTGTGGGATTGCCGAATGCTTGAAGATCACCTGCCAGGTTGGGCGACTGGACAGAGGGAAGAGCGCAATCCTTTATGTGAAGTCTCTGCTGTGGACCGAGACCTTTATGAATGTAAGTGGTCAGATGCAGTACTTAGCGAACTTATCCTTTTTTTCAAAGAAACAAAGTCTTACATTTAGGAAATCATTTCACTGTTACTTCCATACAGAAGGAAAACCAGAATCATTCATACTCTCTGAAGTCATCTGCTTCATTTAATGTCATTGAGTTTCCTTATAAGAACCTTCCCATTGAGGATATCTTCAACTCCACATTAGTAAGTCATTGATTTGGGGAAATGGAATAAATGTGCTCAGTTGAATGTCATAGATAACTTTTAATTTATTTTAAATAATGGCAATTTAACTATTTTAATAACTTAAAGTAATTGAGTCATTTGACAGTATTATAATGTAATTTAATATTATTTTACTCCCTCATCCCAGAATTATTAAAGGTTGAGCTTTTATTTTACCATCCTGTCCTATGTAAGAGATTCTTCATATTTACTGAATTTTATAGAGGGCAATTTTTGGAAAGTTCTCAGTAAGTTAGAAAGTTGGAAGTTAACTGCAAGAAATGGAGGCATTTTAAAGATCTTTAACTTGAGGATTAAAAATTGGACCAACATATCTTGGTCCAATAAACTTTCATATAGTTTAATCCATAAACTGGATTAAACTATATGAAAATACTTTACAGGTGACCGGAAGTTCACCTGTTGTTGGGAGTTTTGTGTGTATGCATCTGCTATCAATGCCAGATATGTAATAATAAATGCAGGAAAAGAAAATAATGTAAATGTCACTAAAATAAAAAGTAGTAGGCATTCAGATAGTTGTTGAGTAAGTCAGTGAACTATTTTTAAAATGCAAAACCTTCTTTTCCCACAACAGGTTACCACTAATGTCACCTGGGGCATTCAGCCAGCACCCATGCCCGTGCCTGTGTGGGTAATAATCTTAGCAGTTCTAGCAGGATTGTTGTTACTGGCTGTTTTGGTGTTTGTGATGCACAGGGTAAGTAATGGACTTAGGAGGAGAGGGAGGGAGGAGGAAGCAGGACAAAAGGGGAAAGGGAGGGCAAGAAAGAAGAATTGAAAAGAAGGAAGGGAAGGAGAAAAGGGGTCTTTGATGATGATGATGATGATGCATGGTGAGCATTACATATTATCTGAAGGAAGACATTTTCTTGGTGATAATATAATCACATAGAGTATCTTTAATATTCTTCACTGATAAGGCAATAATATTAGTTTTTCTTTAACTGACAGATGGGCTTTTTTAAACGTGTTCGACCACCTCAAGAAGAACAAGAAAGGGAACAGCTTCAACCTCATGAGAATGGTGAAGGAAACTCAGAAACTTAACTGTGATTTTTTAAGTTATGTGACATCCTGGCCCATGAGAATTACCAACGTCATAGATGTCAGTTTCCTTCGTGAGGACTGAAATTATAAGACTTTACTGCTGACGGTGCCCTTTGGTATTGACCACAAACGGAGAGCATCTGTCAACTTCTTTATAAATTAGTTCAGACTTACATTTAATACACATCCACTGACTTGTGTTTTTAGGTATTTACATAATAAAATTTGAAGTGATAGTTCTTTAATGTATATAAGACAGGTAGTGCCTGAATTACCACTTTGTGTAAAATAGTACCTCCTATAATTCCTGTTTCTGGTTTGTATGTTGGATTTTGTTTGTTGTTGTTTTATTGTTATTGTTCTAAAGCAATTCATGCTTGGACCTTAGCACCCACATCTTTTGTACAGGTACTTAATGTTACTACACAACACACTACAGTTGAGTTTTCAAGTTACTAAAGACTTTATACCTCCATGAACTTGCATTTTAATATTACCTATATGGCAAACTTAAAAAAAAACTGACTCCACCAAAACTTTTTCCTGTAATAGATAGGTATAGTTATTTTGTTTTAATATGATGTTTGGGTACATGATATTAAATTTTTATTTATTTAATCCATAACCCCTTTATTACATTTTAATTATTTAAGTTTAAGCTTATTCCAAATCCTTTAAGTGAACCTATACTAAAAATTAGTTCTTAAATCAGAAATGCCTCTTTTGTGTAATAGCTTAATTTCAGCTAAACATCATGATGCTTAAAGCCATATGGAGTTGAAAATCCGTTTCCAAAGTACATTTGTTCCATTGTATTAGTCCAGCCATTTACAATACAAAAACATAAGCATTTGTATTTTAAAAAACTACATGTGTAGTTCTTTGATAGAGTTGCTTATTAATACTATGTTTTTAGATTAGAGCAAGAGTTTTTAGTGGAGGTTAATTTATTTTCTTCCTATATATGTTTTTTTAAAAAATATATAGTTCCAAAACTGTTACTGAGAACAGGTCAAGATCAATGAGGAATCCTTATAAATTCAGGAATCTGCATCCAACCCCTACACCCCATGAGAAATCCTTGGAATTGAAATTCTTAAGGTAGCAATAGCATAATATCACATACATGCATATTACCTCATTCTGAGCAAAGTGTAATGTGTAAAACCAGTCTCAGCTATCAAAATAACTTTTAAAAGGTACTTTTATAAGCAATTCAATTTATTGGAAACTTTTAAAACTTTCTTAGGTTTATTACCATAAATTACTTTTCTAGAACTTTTTTAATAAAAGCTGCACAGGTGGCAAATTGTATTTTTATATGTTTGTAGGGTGATGAGTTTTTAGAGGAATATGTGACTTATTCACAGTCCTTCAAAGCCTAGGGATTATTAATTACAGCTATTTTTGTGCAATTACATCATGGTATACATTAGAAATTGAGAGTTTAATAGTTTTTTAACTGCTGTCTTCATTAGGCAATGATAAATATTTCCCTTAAATAGTTGAAATTTATCTTGCCACGTCTTGTGTTATAATTCCCTGCACAAGTGGCTGTAGTAAAATAGAGGCACATTAGGTGAGTTATACAAGTTAGAACCTTGACAAGACCCTGTATTTAGCTTTAGTGAATTTCAAAATTAAAAGATTTTATAATATAGATTTTTTTCAGTAGCTTAAGAGATCATAGTCACATGCAATAACCATTAAATATAAAATGTTGTTAAGAAAAAAGTATCCTAAAGCCTCCCACCAGACAATTGCTAAGTCATTTCGTGATGACTTCCACCTTACCTGTTTTCCCATGGACTGGCAGTCATTCCTGAAAATTCTTGTTGGACAGAAATTTACTCTCTCACAAAAAAGTTTGCTATTGCACAATCTATTCCGTTATGGACTTTATTTCAAGGTAAAGTCTTATGTAGGAGATAGGATGTTTTCATTGGAATTTAACAGGATGTTTTAAATTGCCTTTATGAATTGTAGCCTTAGGCAATAATAGGTTTTTAATGAAAAATTTATATCTCTAAAAAAATCACATGGTAGAAATATACTTTTAAAAGCCTACTCTTTGAGGAAAATGTTTGGATTCTTTTAACCCTAAAGTAGCATGTGAATATATTTGGTTGAAATGTCAAAACAAATAACCCTATAAAAACTTTTAACTTTCAAATATTTTAGATACTAGTGTGTGATTTATTGCAAATTAATATCTGTTTTGAGTATAAAATACTTAAAATGTAATTCAGTTTAAAAATACAGAAGTGAGGTAGAGAATATTTAATGCATTTGACATTGGTAATATTGATACTGTTGATTTCTTATATAGGCATTTATTTGAGAATTGATATTATGAAACATTTCATGTTCATGAAATGTTCAAACCTTTGTGTGAGAGACATTCTTACATTTTCTTTCCTTTATGCTTCTTTTGTAATTAATTATTATTATAATTCTGATTGAGTAATTATTATTATAATTCTGATGAGTTCTTAATTCTGAAGTGTAAAACAATCCAAATGTTAGTGCCACAACTATACCTGTGTTGTGAAACTACTTAGTGATAGTAAATTCTCATTAACTCTTATATTTATATAAAGAGAAAATTTAGGTATTAGGAAAAGAGACTGCCCTGGCTTCTTTAAGAGGGCTGTGGAAGACTTTCAATAGTGAGTCATGACCCGGAGAGAGATTTATGCTGCAGAAGTAGAGTGTATGCGACCAGCAGGCAGAATGTGTAAGTTGGTGGATATCCCTGTGTTGCAGAGTGTAGTGCCAAACATGATAGAGACCGAGTCTGTCTTGGAACACCTGTGTGTGGCCATGGCCCGGCTCAGTGCCACCTTGTTTGCGCTCTTGGATAGCTTGTTTATGTTGTTGTTTAGTATATAAGAAAAAATGTGAAATTTGAAAACTGAATATAGGATCAAAAACAGTGAATGAAATGACTTTGTACTCAGTGTTTTGGAGAGTTGTCCCTTGAACTGGTCAGCAGGCTGGTTGGAATGACAAACCTGGGGACAAGCAGCATGCATAAATGATTGTATTTCATTGTAGTTTCTGAAATATAATGAATTTCATTGGAGAGGTACCAAATCTTTCATTTTTGTTGTCATTGTTCTCAAGTGCAATATAACAATGTTACCAAACCCAGATAATTTCCAAGCCATTATTCATTTAGTAAGCCTAATCTAAATTGAGATTTATTAATATTTTGTTAGCAGGAAGAAGTGATTCTATTGTACTATGGATATACAAATGAAGTTATTTACTCCTAAAAGGTACATTCTACATTTTATTTCAGGCTGAACATGAACTGTTCCCTATTAGTTTTGAAACACTTTGAAATCTCTTGAAGTAACTTAGAAACTGTGTATATCAATTTAGCTCGCTACCTAAGTAACATAGACTTTCTTGATTTAGCTTCTCTTCTGATCACCCACATTGGGTGAGACATAAAATGAATGTGTTCTAAAACATGTCATTTGCTAACTTAATTTGAATTTGTGAAAACTGGTACGATGTTCTCTTAGTACCCAAAGTGTAACTTGTGACTGTACAATAAACTTAAGCATATGGTGCCACTTTTGTGTAGAGACTGTACTTGCTTATGATACTGTTTTGTTTTGTTTTTAATTCACATGAGCAAACAGTGATGCACCAAAAGGATGACCTCAGTGAGATGAACACCTCTCTAAATGTCTGAATTCTTAAAAGTGTTAGTTATTTGAAAAAACGTCACACCAAAGAACTGTGTTTAGCAGATCAATAGGATTCATCCAAACTGAAGAACAGAGGAGAGGGAGGGAAGGAAGGAAGGAATTAAAAAATAATCTATGAGTCTGTCTCTATCTTGCTTGTTAGTTAAGTTCGTTCGTTAGATTCTACATATGAGTGAGATCATAAGGTATTTGTCTTTCACTGACTGGCTTATTTCACTTAGCATAATGCTCTCCAGGTGCGTCCATGCTGTTAATAAAGGGTAAAGTGGCAGGCTGACAGCTCTGGGTTGGGGGTTGCGGTGGAGATGGAGGGACTGAGCAAAAAAGAAAAGGTCTCATGGACACAGACAATAGGGTGGTGATTGCAGGGGTCATGGGTTAGAGGGGGTGGAGGTGGAAGAGGGTATAAGGGGGATAAATGGTAACGGCAGAATACAATAAAAATTCTCAAGCTTGTGGGCACGTAGATTTTTTTTAGTGATTCTTTAAATCTATATGTTCTATACACTCTGTTATGTATGATACACTTGGTAATAAAAATGAGGTTTCAATAAATTGTTAAAAAGAGTCTTAATGACCCAGAGGACAATTTAACTAGGTACAAAAGGAGTCTTAGGGAGTAGAGAGGAAATGGGTCAAAATATTGAAAGCCAAAAAGCTTCCAAATTTGATAAAAAATAGCAACCTACAATTTTGGCAGCTCAGTGAGCTCCAAACAGGATGATAAGAGAAAACATTGTCTATGCACGCCATGGCCACACTGCTGGAAACTCCAAGTTAGAAGGGGCTTACCTCCTTGACTGGAATGCCCCCAGTCTCATCATCTACATTCGGTATGAGTAAGGCTTGGGTTATGGCCTGTCCTGGGTGGTGCAGGTCCTCCCCATATGTGGAGCTGTGAAACTAAAGAAACAAGTTACCTGCTCCCAACATAACATGCTGGGAAAGGCATATGATAACAATTATAGACGTTCCGATTTAAAGAAGGAAAAAAGAAGAGGCCACTGATCCCAAGCAGTGTTAAAATCTAGCTGGGCAAACTCCATTCGGTGTCAAACAGTTCTGTGAATAATTCTCTGCGGTTCATGGGTCCACACTGAGGCATCTTTTTCCCCCTGACAGAGCACATTTGCAGCTGAGTATTGGTAAAATTTTATGGGTCCAATATGCTTTTTCTTTTGTACTCTGTTTATATACCAAACTGGCAGTATTTCTGCTTTTACACTATTCACATGAAACTTGTGGATCTCTGATCTCCAGTGGCTACTAAAGATCAACTGACCATAAATGTGTGGATGTATTACTGGGCTCTCTGTTCCACTAGTCTGTATACTCATTTTTATATCATTACCGTGCTGTTTTGACTACTAGAACTTTGTATTATGTTTTGATATCAGGTAGTGTACTATTCCCAGCTTTGTTCTTTTTGCTCAAGGTTGCTTTGGCTACTCACTTTTTTTTTGTGGTTTCATCTGACTTTCAGGATTGCTTTTTTTATGCATTTTTCTATTTCTGTGAAAAATGCCATTGGAATTTTGACAGGGATTGCATTGAATCTGTAGATGGCTTTGGGGAGTGTGGGCATTTTAACAATATTTGTCTTTCAATTTGTGAGCAAGGGATAGTTTTCCATCTATCTGTGTCTTTAATTACTTTCATCAGTGTTTTATTGTCAGTGTACAGATCGTTCCCCTAAGGTTTTTTTTTAATGTTATTGTAAATGGGATTTTCTTAATTTCTCTTTCACATAGTTCATTGATAGTGTGTAAAAACAACTAATTTTGTATGTTCGTTTTGTGTCCTGCAATTCTACTCTATCTGTTGATTAGTGCTAACAGTTTTGGTGGAATCATTTAAGATTTTTTATATGTAAGATCATGTCATCTACAATACAAACAATTTTGTAATACTTCTTTCTTTTGGATTTCGACACCCTTCCCCATCCTGTTCTTCCCTCTCCGTCTTTCTCTCGCCACCTCCTTGCCCCCTTCCTCCTCCTCCTCTCTCTCTTTCCTAATTGCTTTGACTGGGACTCCAGTACTATATTTAAGGGAGGTGGTGGGAGTGGGCATCGTTGTCTTGTTTCTGATCTTAGAAGAAATGCTTTCAGCTTTCACCATTGAGTACGATGTTGTGCATTTGCCATATTTGGCCTTTATTCTGTTGAGATACATCTCTTTCATACCTAACTTGTTGAGAGGTGTTTTTTTTTAATCATTAAAGGATGTTGAATTTTGTCAAATGTTTTTTCAACATTTCTTGAGCTGTTCATATGATTTTTATCATTTATTTTGTTAATGTGGTATATCCCATTGATTGATTTGCCAGTGTTGATGGTGGGGGATGGCCTGGACCCTGAGTCCATGGAAGCAGTCCTTGACCCTGGGTTCCCTGGAGTCTGGATCTGTGGGTGCTGGTCTGGTGCTGGGGAGGGCCAGGAGCCTAAAGCCAGAGGGGTGGTTTCTGCTCAGGGGCAGGCCCGAAGTTTGGGACCACGGGGGTTGCCCTGACAACTGGGCCCAAAGGTGCTAGCCTGGGGCCTTTGGGGGTGGGGGGAGTGTGGAGCCAGCCTGGCACTGGGGTGGGTCTGGTGCTGAAACTGCAAGGGTGGATTCTTTCTTACTTTTTGATAACATTTATATTTTTCCCCAGAATTATTTGGCTTCCCTATATTATTTTATCCAATCTTTCCTACCTATACCAAAAGATTGTATCCAATTTTTCTTACCATATATCATCACACACACGTATATACACACATACATGAAGTTGATCCTCATTACTCCTGATTCCATATTTCTGAATTTGCCTATTTGCTAAAATATATTTGAAACCCCCAAATCAGTACTTTCACAGTTATTCCCGAAATGTGCAGAGCAGTGAAAAATTTGCGCTGCCGACATGCACATCCCCAGCTGAGTTCAAACAAGGTGAAGCTCTTCCTTTCAGCTGTCACTGTAGATGCAAGTGTCCTTCTTATGGTCTATTTAATGACAGTTCTTTTCCAGTTTTGTACTTTCCATTGGTGATTTTGTTGTTAAAATTACCCCAAATTTTGTAGTGCTGAAGTGCTGTCTAGTGTTCCTAAGGAAGGCAGTCGTGTGCCTTCTAGAAAAAACATGTGCTGGATAAGCTTTCAGGCATGAGCTGTTGCAGTGCTGTTGGCTGTGAGCTCAGTGTTAGTGAACCAAGAACATATAATAAATAAGGTGTCTTTAAACAGAAACACATATACAGCAAGGTTATGTATTGAAGGGTTGGTGAAAATGTGACCAGAGGAACCTAACTATTCTTCCTGGGAGGAACAGCTCAGCATTCGCTAATTTAGTGTGCACAGTGACTTTATAGAGCATAATTACTAAGAAGAATGAGAATAGATTCCACCTGACATGAAATTTTATATACATTATAAAATATATGTAAGTAAAACAATAATCATGTATAACATTACCAAAAGAAAGTCCAGCTGACATTTACCAAACAGTTTCCATAGCAAGGAACTCTTAAGTATTACACATTATTTCATTTTGTTACCTCCTTTCGGTGCTTCAGTTTCTCCCACTATCCAGTTGAAAAAACAGGCCTGGAGCCCCGGCTGGTATGGCTCAGTGGATTGAGCACTGGCCCGTGAACTGAAGGGTTGCTGGTTTGATTCCCCGTCAGGGCATATGCCTGGGGCAGGCAGGTCCCCAGTAGGGGGCTCATTCTTTCTCCCTTCCTCACTAAAAATAAGTAAAATCTTTTAAAAAACTGAGTTCTAGAATCTTAGATAAGTCACTTGGCTGTGAGTGGTGTGAATGGTGGACACCAGAACACTGATTCCAGGGCCCTCCTACAGGGGCCTCCTCCGGAACCAGCAGTTCTTCCTCTTAAAGTTGACTTACTGATTTCACCAACCCATTAAACAGTGTTAGATGTAGGAGGAGCTGGGGACACAGCTGTGAACGTGATGGCTCTGGCCCTTGGGGAACCTACACTAGTGAGGATATAGGCAAGTAAATACCCATTTTAAATGGAGTACTAAGGGGAACTAGGAGATGTCATGCAAGCTCTTAAAGGGGGCATATAATCAAAGCTAAGGGTGTTGGAAAATATTTAAGATATATTGACTTTTATGTCTCTTACCAACTTTTTTGATTCACCTGTTACTGGGCCTGATTTCATCAGATAATATGGCTTTTGTCTGTTGCACAGAAATTAGGCATAAGCTATATGAGCAATGGAGCATTTAAAAACCACCTAAAATCCATCTCAACTGACAAAATTCTCTTTCAACAGTCCATGATATTGAAGGATTTTCTGTCCACCCTCTTCTGGGGGCCATAGAATCAGTGGCTTGCCTCCAGAAGGCCACATTAGCGACGACTTGGCCACCGTGCAGCAGGATGACAGAAATCCTGGCGGCATTCCTCTCCTCTTGATCTGCCAGTCAGGTTTCTGGAACCATTTCCATTTTTTTCCTTTCTTCTCGCCAGCAATAGGGGTAAATTGGAAGAAAATGAAACAAAAGCAGTTTGATGGGACTAATGAAGGCTTTCTGCATTCAGCCTCCCCCACCCCCCCCACCCCCACACTCCTGCTCGAACAGGTGAGGCACAGCCCTGACGGGGCCTGGGCCGGGCTCAGTGTGAGGGCCTCACTCTTCATGTTTTCCAAATAACTCTGCCCGCATAGTTTACTGGGTATAAAAATCACTTTTAAAAAGCAATACAAGCTATTGTGAAACTTTCAAATTGGGTAGAAGGGTAAAATTACACATAAGTAGTGTATCCTTGGGTGAATCAGTAGCCTCGCTGATCTTCAGGGTCTCTATTTGCTAATTAAGATAATGAAGCAATTTCTGTGATTGCTCTGAGGATACA